AAAAAGTTACATTTTATTTTTTATTTACATTTTATTTAAAAACTAAAACTATAATTATAATACTAAATTATACTATTCAATATAATATATACATTAAAATTTAAAAAGTAACAAAGTAAACATATCTTCTCTCTCCTCCATGTGGAGGAGAGACCAGACTAAAAGATTGGAAAAGAACAGTTTAAGCTATATTATTATTATTTTACCTTTTATGATTTGGCAAAATCAGTGGCGGAACCAGAATTATTAGGTTGTAGGGGCTGGAGATTAAAATTAAAAAAAAAAATTATAGTATAAAATTTAAATATCGAACAAAATATTCTACTAACAGAATAAATTACCTTTAACCAAATATGCATAAGCAATATTGTCACTATGAAAACAAAAAAAAAAAAAAACAATCCGACCAATAAGATTCCAACTTCGTCCAAACTGAAATCCGAATCCAATTGTTGCCCTTGAACAAAACAAAATATTATTTAGTCAACAACTTTGTATTCTACCTTAGTGATGTCGCAATAGTTGTATTCTTCGTGTATCCATATTTTGAAACCGTTGCAAAATTGCTTCAATTTCTATAGTGACAAAAATATCTTTCTCAATGTAACACACTAGACAATCGGCAAGATATTCATCTCCCATTGTGTTTCGCAAATCATTTTTGACAATCTTCATTGTCGAAAAAGATCTTTCAACTGTGGCTGTCGTGACAGGTAAAACCAATGCTAACTCAATTAGTCGATAAATCAAATAAAAAGTACTCTTACAATTATTTGAATCATCTTCTGTGCAAGATCTCCAATATCACAAAGGCCAATAAAAGTTGGTTCTGATCTCACGTAACGAATGATCATTTTGCCGCAAAATGATCGGTTCTAATTAGATGTAACAACGTTGCACTGTGAGTGCTCTAACTAGTTCACAAATCTTTCATCTACCGCCTTAAGATAGAAACAAATTAGTGTTTGGTTCCGTGCATTAGAGATTGATTGGACAAGTGTTTGGTTCCGTGCATTGGAGATTGATTGGACAATATACAGTAGCTTAATATAATAATTGCATAAGAGATGTAATTCTAAGTAGCTACCGGAGATCTTGACATGAAAAAAAAGAGTAATCTTTATGTATTATTATATTAATATTAATTGTACTTCACCAATAGTTAAATACTATTTATCCAATTTTTACATTACCAAACTACAATTAATGATTAGGTTGGATTGAAAGTTTATCCAATACGCATTTTTGAATAGAGGCTGTGAATTCTCACGTTATAAATTCAGTTAATGCTCTAACGACATAATATTTTCGTCATGATGCATCAAAACAACCTATTAATAATAAATACACAAAAATCTAACTTAATCCATGATTTGCAATATCAACCCTTTAATTTTTAAATTATATAGAGCACAATAAATAAGAGATTCAACCATAATTTTATCATGAAATCATCTCAATCACTGCTAGAAAAAAGATTGATAATTGCAGAAATTTATCGCAAATTTTAATCCGTGACAATTAAAAGTCATGGAAAGTAATTTCGTGACAAATTTATGTCACAACTTTTTGCTTTGACTATTCCGTAAGTAATATTTGCATAAAAAGCTACAAACAACTTTCCGTGACTATTTAAAGTAATGGCTTATGTAACGAAAATGTCCAAGATATTTCTATTCCGTGTCTTTTGACTATTTCGTCACAAAAATTGTCACAAAATTTTTTCTTGACTATTTTAAGTTGCGAAAAAAATAACCAAAATATTCCCAACATTTTAAATTATTACAGATATTGTCATAATATAATTTTCGTGGCTTTTTAAAATCAAATGTCACAACATAAGTAACAAAAACAACTATAAATTTTTCTTATTATTGTTCATAGCTATTCAAAGTAATAACAAAATAATAAAATCATCTTCAATATCTTTATTCAATATCGTTCGTAGCTATTTCAATTTTTTGTTAAAAATTCATGATGATATATTAAATAAATATGTATATATTTTTAAAAGATAAATTTATAATCAATAATATTTATATAGTTAAAATATAATGACAAACAAAAAGTATTACTTTAGAGTAGATAGCTAAGTTGGCATGACAGGGTCGTATAAGTCTTTAACATAAAGTCACAGAGGATATTATTTTATAACTTATTGTCACGGAAATGGTTCCGTATATTTTTTCGTGATTTTTTGACCAAAAAGTCATCAATTTGTATTAAAACTGTGACTTTTTTTACCGTAGTAAATTAAATAATAACCACTAATACAACAAAGACGAAGAACTATTTTAATAAAACAAAATTTGAATTCAAATTCAAAGGCAAATAATATAAAATTCGAAAATTCAAAACCTCAAATACTTTTTTATATTGTAAAAGCGATTATGCATAAATTCCTTAAGAAATCCAACAAATTTTTATCGAATAGAAATAATTATATGAAATTAGTCCAGAATCACTTTTAATAATTTTGAAGTAGAGACTAATAGTAGGTTGTAATAGAAGCGTATCTAGAATCGGGTTCTAGGGTTTAGGGCAGACATAAACAGCGAAACAAACATAGTCATCTATGTCGACTCCTTTTAAACAGCAAAGACAAGAAGCAGTCAAGAAGACAGTCTGTGTTGCTGTGGATGAGGAACAGAGAGATGAAAAAACAACAACTCTCTGTTGTTGTTGATGAAGAAATAAGAAAAAATAGATAATTAATGGTTATTTTAAGAGCAACCAAAACTCAGCACCGTGCTGAGAGCACCGCCATCTCATCCTCCACTACCGTCACCACCACTCCTGTTGCCATCTTCGTCTCCTTCCACCTCCACCGCTGTTGTTCTCCTTCTATTTCACCATCACTATGGTCGCCTCCTCCTCCTCCATCACCACCATTGTCACTCAATTGTTCTCCTCCTCCTCCACCACCACCATCGCCGTCCAACTGTTCTCCTCAACCACCTCCACTGCGGTTGTTCTCCTTCTCTTTCACCATCACCATGGCTGCCTCCTCCTCCACCACCATCACTATCACCGCCCAACTGTTCTCTTCCGCCACTTCCACCGCCGTCATTCTCTTTTTCTTTCACCATCACCACCACCGCCACCTGCTTGTCCACTGAGCTGCTTTGTGCTGCTGTCATAACCATCACCAACAAACCCAGCTCATCACCATCTCTGCATCTGCCACTACGGCACTACTGATATTATCCACCTCATCATCATCATCAAACTCATTATCGGGTGCTGATTTATGGACTATCAGCACCTGATCTGAACGATTTTAAGAAATTAATTTAGAAAATTTTTCATATTTTGCCACATTAATTATTTTTATTAGATCGAACAGAGCAGAAGAATAGAGAAAATGGGCATATGTTTGCCTCGGACTGGGTCTCATAGGGATTGAGATTGATTGTGATCCTTTCTCTCTCATCCCTCTAAATCTTCATAATCTCATAGAGGACTTAGTTATTGTGTTGTGATTTTATTTGGGCTTTATATGGATTAGGTATTGGCTGGTGTTTGGTTTGATTTTGGATTTTAATTCTAAGGTGCTTCTTAAGTATGGTTAGAGCTGTTAACGATTCGAGCTGAGTCGAGCCAAGCTAAATTTTAAGTGTTTGTTAACGTTCGCAAACAAGGCTCGTGTTCGTTTGTTAAGCTTTCGAGCTCGTTCGTAATGTTCAAGCTCGGCTCGTTAATAATTTTTATTGTTTGAGCTCGTGTTCGTGTTCGGCTCGTTTAGGTTCGATTAAGTTCGTTCGAGCTCGTTTGTCTTATTTTTAAAAATTTATATATAAATTATAAAGAAAAATTAAAATTATTTTATTTAAATATTTTAAAATATATTATTTACACGAAAAGCTTGGGCTCGTTCGTTAACCAAACGAACTTGTTTATGTTGTTCAGCTCGGCTCGTTAACATTCACGAACGAACTTTAACCGAGCCAAATCGAACCGAACCGAGCCGAGTTTACGAGCAAGTCGGTTCTTTTAACAGCTCTATGGTGTGTTGTGCTTCAACGAGGTTTGGGTTTCAATGATGAGCGGGTCTTTTTGTTTTATTTAGTTTAATTTGTAGCTTTATTTAGAAAACCTTGATGGATTTTCGGCTTGGCCAGCAAGTTGAAATAAGAGTTAGATGCTAGTTGCATTTGGGCCGAAGAGTGGACACTTTGGGCCAGAGCCTTCAGTTTGGGCCTTTTAATATTTTATATAATTTATTTTTTATGCAACGTGTTTTTTTATAGCATATATTAATATATTATTTTCAATTTTAAATGAATTTAAATTTAAATACAAAGATATACTTTATATTTTAATAATTGTTTAACATGTATATATACATAAATATTATATATATTTTATGAAAGATATACAAAATCATTATCTTTAAAACAAAAAATTACACATCACATTTTAAAAAATAAAATTATATTACTTTTAAAAAAATAAATTTACATATTACTTTCCAAAAAGTAAAATTATCATTTAAAAAAAAAAAAAAAAAAACATTCAACTCCAAAAAATGGAATATATAGTAATATAGTAGCTGACTCCGTTTATGGAGTTAGAAATGGGATTAAGTTATAGCCCAACCCCTCATAAACACAATGTATATTCTTTCAATCCGGTAAATTATGTAAATTTGATTGATTATGAAAGTGATATATTTTAATATTAAAATTAAATAAATAAAAAATAATGAAATATTATAGTAAAATTTAATAAAAATTAATAAAGTAAATAAAATAATAAATCAATTACTATTTATAAAAATAAACATAATAAAATTATAAATAAATAAATTATATCCAACTACAAAAACAAAATAATATGGTTTCAACAGTCATTAATGTGAAGTGCAGCCTGCCAAGATATGCACACATTCTGGCAAATCAGGGTTCACATTACTTCACCTGGAACCTGATTCAACTTGCAAGCACTCCCCTAACATAATGTCAAACCATCCATCCATGGATTGCAAATGCAACACACCCTTGCTCATCAAAGCACAATTGCATAAATACAACAAGAAAATACATACATCGAATAATAGCATTTCACAATCCGAGCAAGCAAAGCACAACGATCAAATATTCCAGACTCCAGAGGCGAACCGACAAGGGTAATAATATGCATATTTCGATCTGGATTTAGATTCAATTCATTCGCCTACCGATCCACAAACAAGGGTACGTTACCTACCTACCTACCTACCAACCCTTCCACTAACCACGAGCTGCCCTCAGGAAGTTGTCAAAGGGGCTAGCCGGGGGCAACCTCAGAGCCAACCAGCTGTTTGCACTTGCAGGCAGAGCAAGTTCACCATTGGGCATCTGCAAGGTTAGAAAAAACAAAAACATGAACTCTCAGATAGTAACATGAGTTCAGAACTGTACATACACATACATACCTTGCCATGAGATTCAAGTGATGGATCATTATTGTTTGCTTTTGTGCTGTGGTTGTCATAGATTAGCCAATTAGAGAGCTTCTTCCTAGTGTCCGTGCCAAAGGCTTCACACTGATGTGTCATTGTGCTGTACGGGAGCGGTGATGTGGTGACTGTCGTGCCTGCCACTTGGCCCGCAACCTCCAGTGCCTGAATCCAGAAAGACATTATTAAGCAAGTACCGACCACATAATTCTTAGACGTAAGATTCAAACCCCATTCCTTCCCTTCTATGTGGATTTGGTTGCAATTGATATTACCATAAATAAATAAATAAAAAGATTGTGCGTGGATGGGAGAACAGAGATATTACAGATTCTAAAAGCTGGCCAATGCTCACGATATGAGACATTGAAGGGGACGCAGATGCAGGAGCCTTAGGAATGAAGCGGGATATATCAGTTACTGATGATATACTTGCAGCATCATCTTCAATAATGGAATTTGCAGAAAACTCCTGCTGACAATCGGCAAGGTAGGGTTAGATGCAATTCCTCATCACATAAAAACAGGAAAAATTAGAATAGACAGTACCGCATCAAATGATTGTGATTGTTTGGAGTGTGCAGCCCGTTGAATGTGGTCCATGTCAAGCATCAATTCAGGGCCGAACAAAAAAGCCTCGTCAGGTACAAATCCTTCAGATAGCTTGTTATCCACTTCTTCAGGTTCAATCTAAAAATGTAGTACTTGTGTTTTAATCAAGGACAGGCCAGTCCTTTCTCTCATAATATTGCTGGCAGTTGCTATGAGAAGTGGGGACAGTATTCGAAATAAATAAGTAAAAATAAAAAGAGAAGTTTACCTTTGTAATCATAGATAAACCTTCAACCAACATGGAAAACACAATTCTATCAGATTCTAAAGCCTTTTCCCGCAGCCCCACAAGTGCAGAGAAAGCTGCTTCATTGTCGGAAGCAGAACCATACTCTTTCACTTCAGCTTGAGGCTTCATGTAAACTTGTAAGTCGTCATTTATGCCAATATATGGATCCACCTAGATCGCAAACATCCAGAAGAGATTTAGATTGCTTGAGATTCATATGTACCAGGCTATAGTGAAACCGTAACATAAAACTCACATCAGACTCTAGTAACAAGTTTAATAACTCCTGAGTCTCGGAAATGTGATACATTTTTGCAGCAAAGACTAACATCGCAGTTGACAGCACATGCAGTAACCTTTGATATGCTGGATGCAATGACCCTGGAAACACAATAAATGCACATCAGACACAGAAAAATACATACATTTCAAATGCTTCAGTAATAAGAGTTTCAAACCATTATTGGACTCTAGGGACATCTTTCTAATTGAGAGAGGCAGCTGAAAAAATCGGAGGAGGGAATCATTGGGTTCCTACAACAAAGTAAAAAAAAATAATAAAATGTTAGTGCGTGTCTCCATAATAAAACATGGAAGAACAGAGTAAGAAGAATGAATCCCCAAACATGATGAGTGCACAGAATTTCAACCTTAAGACGTGAAGAGATTAGTGCTAAACAGAATGAATGGGCCATAGCTTCTATATTCGCAGGTAAATTATCAGGAAGATGGACTTGTATCCATAAAGCTGACAGCAATTGTGCAATTTGGTCCTCGTTGCATCGCAAAAAATATTGTTCCTGTGCCAGTCAATAGCACAACGCAAAATGTAAAACTGTAAGAGAAATTCAAGACAAGCTAACAAGGCAAGGAGAAAGACTAGTACATTCTCAGCTGGCCCATGCACTCTGTCAACAAGGGAGCTTATGATATGCATGTTAGGAGAACTCTTGTTGGAACGTCCATGCTTCCTTTCATCCTCAACCTTGTTTGGCTGCAGGCAATCATCTTTCTCACTTCCCTGCTTCGCTGGAGTTCCATATATTTCTAGACGAAGCTTCTCAAGCAGAGCAGTGATCGAGGAAAATGTCGATGCACTTTTGGAATGCCACTTCCTTTGATGATAGGAAGAGTCATTCCTTGTATGAGCAAAACTTGGAATGAGAAGGATGCAGAATATTTGATGTGCTCCAACTCGTATTTCACCATCAGAGTTTAACATGGTTTTCATGATTTGAATGAAGAGTACGTCTGGAAACACCTGAAGATTAAAAATGAATATGAAAACCATAGCTAAGGAATAATCAGTACTTCCAGCAACACACAATATCGCTAAAGGATATATGATGATGGGAATGGATTTAGGGTGGGCAAGAAAGACCAAGACCCAAACCACGGAACTTTCAGTCAAGCTTTTTGAGTAATATCACAGTGCTGTAAACACAAAATAGAAATGAAATAATATGATATGAGAGGTTCTTACCTGTTGTTTGCAGAAAGATACAGACGCCACTGAAATGACATGAGCAAGAATTACAAGAGAAGCAAGGGCAGCCTGAGCAACAACTTTCATGGGAGAAAGCTTTTCAAGTGTAATTGCCATCATATCAAAAAGCGGACGGACATCAACAATCTGACAATTACAAAAGTTTATTATTGCAAGACGAATGAAAGACAAAATCCGAAGATATCAACCCCATTAGTCTTACCCCTCTAACAGTTTCCAGCAAACAAGTTTCAATGGAAGTCTGCAACATCACATTCAGCTCTTGCTCTCCAACTGATTCGCCTGTAGCCTGAAAACTTCTGCGCAGGTGTCTGAAGAGGTCACTGACAAATCCCACATCAGAAATTATGGATTCTGACCGAATCTGACGGGCCAAGCAGCTGGCAGTTTGGATGATGTGGCATTTAACCTGAACATCGTGTGCAACATTCTTGTGATCTAAATGACGAACAACGCCTGCTACAACAAATTGCTGATATCCTGTAATAAAATCACAAGAATTTTTAATCCAGATTCAATACAGGGTTGGAAAAAAATAAAAATAAATAAATAGTTAATTAAATAAGGCAGTGTTAACAAGATATCTGTTCAAAGACAAAAACAATATGCAGTACCAGTCTCCAAGAACTTGATTCTTATGATCGCAATGAACATAGATCATCTCTATATGAAAGATTAAGAACACAGCAAAAATATAAGGTGAGGATACACAAACACAAGTGTAAGGTACATCACCTGGGTTTTCCACAAAGGACAACATATCAGAGAGAACAATGGGGGCCAAGCCGTGCTGAGGATCCCAGTGTTTCCCAATGTCATAATACACAAACACAGGCTCAAGTACTCTTCGCATTGTCGTCGTTTCCTTTGCCAGATCAACCATCCTCTGGAGGCATACTTGAGCCAATACTTTAGGCATCTCCATCTCTTCTCTGATGGAATGAAGTCAAGGGAAAAGAAAACCAATGAGCAAATGGATTGCCCATTTCTTACAACGTAATTTTACTTATCAAATAGCCATTACGCATGGCCAACCAACCTAGTCAGAAGAGAGGGGTCTTTTCTTTCTCGCCTGATTCTTACAACCATGTCACTGGGGCTAAACTCATCAGCAATTCCAGGAGTACATCTTCCCTCACACCTTGCTACTTCATCCACCCAGTTGTGATGCGCATCCCGTCTTTCATCATCTTCTTCACTTTGTGCCTCCTTCTCATAGTTGTCGAGGGTAGCATGCACAATCTATAGTGGATGGACAAAATATAATTAAACGAATCTTGGTTCATTCCCAATTATCCGAATGAATAAAATACAACTTTTTCACGTGTAACATCCGGAGAAAAATATTCTGTTTCAATCTCGATATTCAGAAAGTGTACAGTAGGTGTCACAAATCAAGAATAGAAACAAACCTTTTCAAAATCAGCAAATACATGCGAGATCTCCGCCATGAACCACAGCTGAACATATAGAATTTACTGTCATAACCAATGGCAAGCGAAGCTAGAATTGACAAGAAATCAAATTAACTCATCTAGAAAACTAAAAATGTGAGGTCAATATACCAACAAGATAAATTAAATTTTGAGGAAAATTGCATTTTAGTCACTTATGTGGGCCATTATCGATTTAGTCATTTAAATGGAAGACGGTTATGTTCAAGATACATTCTACACCAAATTCTTTATTTTGGAACTCCATGGATGGAATAATGCATTTATACCAACATGCACACATGGTCACTTTCCGGTGATAGAAGGAGACATGGAAAACCCAAAAACTTGGTGGGGGTGGATATGAATTTTATTGGAAAAATTGCTACCTGGTACAATTGCCCAAAATTGAAAGTTCTTACAATACCGAATTACAATCCACTAGAGATCCCAAATCTAGCCTTATGTATTAAACATACAATGATATGCAGGATAAGCATCATGGATCTAGGCTAGTAACCAGCAAAGTTCCCTCTTCACTACCACCATACAATGCCTTCTCCGAAGGAGCAGAAAGCAACTGTACATCATTGAGTACAGATGTGTAGGTTTCCGTGTATGAAACAGTATATTGCTCTTCCCCCTAGACAACAAAGCCGCTATACCACAAAATCAAACCAAAATCCAAGCTGCAAACAGTAACCACTTTGTGAAGCTCCTGCTTCCCTCCCAGCAGCACCCAATCACATGCATATAAGATATAATAAACCAAAAGGCAAAATTTGTCCAGCATTTTACTGTGTGCTTAATACCTAGGGTTAGATTTGGGTGTTGTAGTAGATTGAAATTCCCCAAATTGAAATGTTTACTAATGGAATTTGTTGCAGATGGACAAAATTGCAATTTGGCATAAAATTGTGTTACATTTTGGGAGAATTTTTTAGATGTTTATTAATAATAAAACCAGGACCTATTTATAGACATGGTACAAAAGAGATAAACGCAAATAATAACCCAGGGTGTGTTGGGTTACCGGTTGGATTTTAAGTTGAAACTTGAAAGCTATGTTTATTAAATTATTATTTGATTTATTTTAAATAGTGTAGATTAGTAAATTATTTGTTGAAATATATGTTAGATAGAAATTATTTAGATTTGTCAGTTATCAGATAATCATATCTACTAGATTAGATTGTTATTATCAACATATGAAATTAAATTTGGTTGTTATTATTTACTTTTATCCTCTTGTACAAGGTCTATAAATAGACCTCAATCTCATTATCAATAACTCTCAGAAATTCCTCTTAAAATTTGCATGGTATCAAGGTCTTTTTCTCTCTTGGAATAGACACAATCTACTAATTCATGTTTTCTCCCGGTACATCACGTAATGTACCTGGAGGACTTTCTTTCAAATCTGAGATCCACTACCACCATCATCGTATTCCTAATTTGGGCAAGACTTGTCAAAAAATATCATTATCAAAAACAGTGCATATAAGTTATCAACGTCGGTCATAGTTTGGTCAACGTTGTTGGCCAACACGGTCAACAACTTCATTGCCGCTGACTTTAGTTGCATGTGCAAATGCGTCCGGTGTCTAATTACTAGAATTTTATGCGACAACATACTGAAATATTTCCAACCTATTTGTCAAGTTTTAAGTTTGATTAAGGCTTTTGCTTTGAGTTTCTGTCTATTAGAGTTTAATTTCTTAGGGTTTAGCGCCACTGCAGCGCAAGAGAATCGCCGGCGCCGCCGCAATCGAGGATCACCGTCATCATAAAACCTACTTTGATGCCGCCGCAACGAGAAGATTGTTGCCGCCGCCACAACAAAGGATCATGGCTATTAAAAATCCTAATTTAGTCAAAACTTTAATTTATTAAAGTGTTCGCCGTTGCGACAGAGGATCGTCGGCATGCGGCCGCGAAGCGAATTGATGCTACTAAAACTTTAATTTGGTCAAAATCCTAATTTCTTAGCATTTGACGTCCCCACCACGACAGAGAATCGATTTGAATGTTGATATTTAGTTTGAAGTCCGTCCATATTCAACCATATTTCTTTTTCCAAACTCGAGTTCATTTCTACATCAACAACTTGAATTTGAGGCGAAGTGTTAAAATATATTTTAGATGAATATTATTTGGGGGTTTGTTCACCCACCTATTTTTGGGTGGCCGCCCCATAAATATTACAAAAATACAATATATATTTTAACATAATATATATGATTTATGTACTCTATTAACCCACAAAAAATCAACAATTTAACACAAAATATTATCTTTTATATTATCAACACAAAATATATATACTATGTTAATGTGTATATTGTGTTTTCTTAATAATATCTATTGAGAATCATTTCACTTAAAAATACCAAGAGAACAAACTCTATTTTCAATAAAAATATATACAATATGAATATTATTTTGTAAAGAATAAAATTTTATATGATACAAATAAATAAAAAGTATAGATATTTATTTATGATTAAAATAAATTTATTTTATAAAAAATGAAAAACTTTGAATGTATATAAATATATTTGTTTACTGAAAAAAAAAAAAAAAAAGATAATGTTACATTATAGGAAAATATGAGAAGTTTATTAATAATGAAATTAACATCTTTATACAAAACGATAAAATCTAATAATAACTTAATCTATTAGATATATCTAAATAATAGCAACCTAATCTAATAGATATGAATATATAATAACTAACAATTATAAATAATATCAATCAAAATAAGGATTCAATGACTCTGGGTTAGATAGTACCCTAACTTTCATCACCAAAGTACCAAAACAATGACTTTGGGTTAGATAGTACCCTAACTTCAAATTTTGTCCCTATAACGTACTAAGATGTTAATGTATCCCACTTGCAGAACTAGAAATGCAATTTTCCCTAAATTTTGGAAATTTTAAATAATCATAATGGAAAGAATGGGAGAGATTTAACATGCATATAGTGATTTATTGAATAAATGATAGTAGTAAATTCACCATGAAAATTATGTTTTAATCGAAATTACCATAGCCGATAGGCATCGCAAGACTGCAGCCCTCAAACCACAGATCTCATCTTCGTTCTTACAAGCCAGCATGCAGACTCTTCCCACGAAGTTTTCAATGTTGCGTGTGTAGGTTCCATCCACCTGAAGATAAGACAAACCAGTGTAACGATAGCAGTGTAAGATATTAAAAAATGCTTACAAAAAAAGACAAAAGATGCCCAAAGGTGAAGTAGTTTCTGCTGTCCTCTGTTCAATTCTCTCTCACTTGTTTGTATGTCAATAAGTCACCATATGTTTTTCTCTCTGATTAACAATTTAAAAAGTAAATAAATAAATTATTAAGGTGATCTTGTGATCCTGTATAGCAGATAAAGGTGATAAGGCATTGCAACGCCCATTAATTATAAAACATAAGACCATACAAAGAAGTGAGTTCAGCTTTTCATCTTTAAGATACGCAGGTATGCAAAGCGTTAGGTAAGTCATCACCTGACAATAAATAAACGTAGTCAATGTATCACATCCAATTCTCAGGGCAGAGTCCTGCTTGGAGTCATCGAGCAGTTCAGCAACTACATTCAACAAATTAACAGAAAAGTAGGCCCTGCAAGTACGAATTATTGACATTAAAAACAGATTCATCAGGTTCCCCAACACCACAATACAAACATCAAAAATAATTACTAACATGAGTTTATGGTTATATATACTTATATAAAAGATTAAGAAAAGGCCAAACACAGTGCCAATGAGAAGCTATCATTTGATTACAGACTTGTTGGAAAATAAGATATTCAAATGCCATGTGATCCCAAGCAAAGATATTACAGAGAGTAACATCTTACATCTGCTCCTTACAGATACACAGTAATTTGTTGTAAGCTTCTGCAACAATTCCAACAAGTTTGATGTTTCCCATTCGAAGTTCTTTGTAACATCTATCCTCGAGATATTTCGCAATCTAATAAATTACAAATTACCACCAAGTAAACCCATTAGTTGGTACCAGGAACATGAAGTTGGAATAATTTCTTTCTTGTTGATATTATGCATGTATACATAAGTCCACCTTTGGAATTCGTATTGGATTCTTGGAGGCATATTCACAAAGTTTAACAATCTTCCGATCATTGTATTGTCCGTCCTGTGCAAGCATAGAAATAACAAATGATCATCAATGTAGAATGTTCAGATTGAAGCAATGAGTAATGAGAAAAAGGTAAACACATTTGATTATCCACCACATAGTTCTAACATGTTAAAAACCCATATTTATCATGTTTGTAAAATTGCTGCCTCATTCAAATTTTTCAAAAAGCATACATTTGAAGTACACTAAAAATAAGAAAAGATTGGATCTACAAAACATTCTATCAAGTTAGACTTATCTCGTTATGTTATGTGTACATTATATATACAAAGCCCACAAAAGTGTTTAGTCTGGGGCAATACACACCAAACATTATTACTAGGCAGATGACCCTTCACCAAAAAGTTTAAATTTTCAGAGAGATGTACCATTTCATATATAACTAAGTAGAATCCTCCAGTCAGTGCAAGTTAGGTTCGTTGAGATAAAGCCTTGCTCGACAACAACATCGATTTGATCACATAGCATGACTAAATACATATTTTCTAAATATAAATACCACAACGAAGCTCAAACCCCTGGCCATAGGGCAGCACATGCTTACAAACACAATATACTAACAATGTCAACCTATGAAGAGGTAAGATTAAGCTTTACATCACTGATCAACAATAAGCTCCTACTCTAAACACCAGATGCAGGTAGAGAAATTTTCCAGATAGTAAAGAAATTACTCACGGGAGATTTCGGAAATATGTCAGAAAGCAGTTTCTTATAGCGCTTGACTGGTTGCCGGGAGCGAGACCTCAGAGCTGGGCAGCAAACACACATGCTCTCACAGGCCGGGAATATCTTGCGAGAAATAACCCCCATTTTCTCCTCTTTCCTGCAATAAAATTGCAAAAAAAGCAAGAAAAACAAGAAATCTTCAAGAACGTACAACACCCAGCTACACTAGTCCAGATACATCCATTGCTCCTTAATCAACCCTAAACCCTCTACCGCAGTCTCAAACCAAAATTGCAACCAAAATGAGGAGAAGCTAAACAGTAAAATAATGTAACACATAACAAAGAGCACAAGCTGTTTTCTGGGAAGCAAAACGGAAAAGATTTTAAAAAAACCCTAAAACTGAGTCAGGAACAAACACAAACAAATTGGAGAATTCCGCACCTGATCAGACGGGGAGCCAAATTAAAGCAGCCCCGAGTGCAGTCTGCCTGCAAAATTTGAAAAACCTTGAAATGGGCAGGAAGTGTATGAAATTTGGATGAATGTGGCGTGCCTGTGGAGGGGAAGACCCGAGGGAGAAGGCAATGGAGCGCAGGAGTGGGGCGGGCGATGTATGAGTGTGAAGGGTAAAGGAAAAACCAAAAAAGCAAGCAAAGTGAGGAGGGGAGGAGAGAGAGGCGTCACGTGACTGTCAGAGAGAGACTTTGCAGTTCAAATAATATCGTTGCCATGCTTTGCTGTGCTTTGGTTGAATGGTCGTCGTTTGTGTCAGGAAAACTGGGGAACGCCGTACCTCTTCAATTTTTTTTTACTTTTCTTTTCGTGGTTTGCTTTATTAACAAAAATATATATATATATAGGGATTTGAAATTAAATACTTCCTCCAGATATTTTGATAAAATATAATTAGTATATAATTAAAAAAATATATTAATAAAAATAATTATAAATTAAGATTAAAATAAATAAATAATTTAATTAAAATAAAAAAATTAAAATTTAAAATATAATTAAAATATATAATTATATTTTCAAAAATAAAAATGACAAATTATGTGAGATAGACGAAAATAAAAAATATAAACAAATTATGTGGACCTGGAGTACAAACGTATTTGGATGAATTTTTAATTTATTTAAAAATTTAAAATATAATAGAAATTATGTTTTTTTAATTGTCTCTGTTTCACTTATTATATTTATATTTATATCGGTCCCACTTGTTACTTTTTTTTTTATAACGAATTATATACTTTAAGTTTATTTTAAAATTTTAATTAAATTAATTAGTTATTTTAATTTTAATTTATAATTATTTTTATTATACAATAATTATTTCTTAGTTATTTACTAATTATGTATCTCCTAAATTCTAACGTCTATAATAAAATAGACATGCTATCCGAGCCGGGGGAGTATTATTTTTTAATTGCAATTTTTCATAAATAGTAATATAAAATATAAAATATTTTTCAAAAATTTAAAAGTTAAAAGAAAATTAAATACTTATTTTAAAAAAAAAATCTTCAAATATAATTATAAAAGAATCAAATATCCAATTTAAAATAATATTTTTTTTTCATCTAAGAAGAAAAGTATAATTTGTTTTTTAAGTAAAAATTTTTAAAGATTAATATTATATTAATTTGTAATAAAATGACAAAAATATTTCTATTAGTATTGAATAATATAACAGTAATGACATTTGTGTAATATATTGTAAATTATAAAAATATTTATTATATTATGTAGGTAGTATAATTACTAAATTAGAAAATGAACTCCTGTTTTGAAACAAATGGAATATATTATTAAAAAAATTTTAGAATATATGTTTAAATACATTTAACATTATTTCTTAATAAAATATATATAATATGGATATAATTTTTTAGATAATAAAATTTTATATAATGCAAATAAAAAATATTTTATCTGTCCCTTAACAATTTATCCATTTTTTTCATTTTAGTCCGTCTCATAACGAAGTATACATTTCGTTTTGTTTTTAGTAATTATATTATCTACCTAACATTGCAAATACTCTTCCAATTTACAATATATTACACTAATGTCATTACTTTTATATCATACAATACTAATAAGGTTAGTTTAGTCTTTTTATTTTTATTTCTATTACATTATAATATAATACTAATATTTCTAAAACTACATGCAAAAAATAAATTGATATATAGATATGAGATTGAGGGAGTATAATTAACTTAAACTAGTTAAGACGTTACTCCCTCCGTCTCAAACAAGGTGCAATATTTGCTTTTGGCACGAGTTTTTAGGTAGGTAATATTAAGTAGGATAATTTAGAAATTAGGTGATGCGACAGAGAGAGAAATGTATATTTTATCTTTTTATTTGGATGACATGAGGGGATAAAGTGTGGGGTAGATATTAAATATAGTTAATTATTTCATATTTTAGAAATATTGTAGGATGTTTGAAACATACCAAAAAAAAATATTGCAGCATGGAGAGAGTATAATTTAATTTAATTGAGTTATATTTTTCGTGACTCCTGAGACAAAATTAGTATAAAATTTTTGAAATAAAAAATACAAAAAAATGGTCACTAATAAAAGGAAAGCAAATTATTATTCATATTTCAAAAAAATAAAATAATACTTCCTCCATTTGGAAAAATTATACTATAATTTTTTGATTGGATATAGAGACTAAAAATAATAATATTATAATATCCAAGTAAAGTAGATAAAATGTATAAATGAGTATTATAGAAAATTTATTAATAAAAGAATAAAAAATAATGGGGTAAGTAGAAAAAAATAGTAACAAAATTATTAATATTTATTAAAGTAGAAATAATAAAATAGTGGGTGGATAAAGTGCGTGTTTTTGGTTTTTGGTGAATTTTTTTATGTTAGTATAATAAATTGTGTATGAAATATAAAAATAATATTTTATATTGAATTATTGATTTTTTTTGTGAGTTGATAAAGTGCAATTGTTATATACTCCGTCAGTCTTACTTCAAAGTACTTTTTTACCATTTTTGTTTGTCTCATTTTAAAGTATCAATTTATTAGTTTAAAAAAATAATAATCATACACTAATACCAAAATACTCTTAACTTTTATTTCAATTACAAATATATCATTACATATACGGTTACTTTATATATAAAGTCAAATGGCAAAAATGTCAAAAACTTTTACACTCTTCCACTAACTAATAAAATACTATTATTTTCTAATCTACCATAAAACCTCAAATGACCCATTTAATTTGGGACGATTGAAGTATATTGTATTAATGTGTATATAATATATTTTTCAATAATATTTATGGAGAATTATATTATTGAAAAACAAAAGGCGAACAAGCTCGGTGATTATTATAAATAAAATGTGTATAAGTTTAACTAACACAAAAAATACTAACATCATTTTGATGAACGGAGGAAATAGTGATTTTATTGGATCAGTAAAAACTTCAAAATATTTCAAATTGGGTAAATTATTATAAATGTTTGATTTGTATTTCAAATACAAATTAATGTTATTCAACCACATACAATTTCGACAAAAAATATATTATTTTCTCTTACACAATAATACTCTCTCCGTCTGATACAAAGCGTTAAGCGTTATTTACATTTTACATTATTGTACTTAATTAAAAATAGGACAAAAAAATTAATCTTGGTCACAATTAAAAAGCTCATCAATTTTAGTCTCATTGTAAACAATTTCAATCAATTTTGGTCTCACTATAAACAATTTCAATCAATTTTGGTCTCATTATAAACAATTTCAATCAATTGTGGTCTCACCGTTAAAAATTTAAAGGAAATTGCTGACGTGGACATGACGGAGGTGACGTGACAGCTGACTTGGAAACTACACAGCCATGTATAATTATACACGGCCATGTTGTTACACGACCATGTATATTTCAGTGTATAATTATACATAGTTATGTTGTTACACGACCATGTATAATTTTACACGGCCGTGTACATTTCTGTTTTAATCTAAAATATATATATTTTTTGTTATAATTGTTTTTTAAAAAAAATAATTTTGAATTTATAATAGATGATATAGTTAAAATGGACAAAATCAATAGTAATCATAATATAATTAAAATTTATCAATTTTAATTCAAATATAAAATTTTATAAGATATATCTTTTTAAAATGTTTTGTCTAACATTCTATTATTCATAAAAAAAAAAATTCTTACAAACATCCAATTACACAACTATTTTTTAATCTTGTATATTATAGTAGTATTAAAAATTAATTTATTATTTCAATACAGTAATTGAATGTTTGTAAGAGAAATTTTTTTAATAAATAGTTTAATTGTAGACAAAATCTTCCAAAAGAACAAAATCGATAAATATTTATTTTTCAACTAAAATTGATACATTTTAATTATATTATGATTATTATTGATTTTTTTTTCATTTTAATATCAACTATTTTAAACTAGAAATAAAAAATAACAAAAAAATAACAAAAAAACAAAATTTTAAACCAAAACAGAAAGGTAAACGGCAATGTAGAATTATACATGGCCCATGTAATAACATGACCATGTATATTTTAGTGTATAATTATACATGATCATGTAACAACATGGTCGTATATAATTGTACATAGCCGTGTAATGATATGACCATGTATAATTATACACTGAAATATATATGATCATGTAACAACATGGCCGTGTATAATTGTACATGGCCGTGTACCAACATATCCATGTATAATTATATACTGAAATATATATGGTCATGTAACAATATGATCGTGTAGTTTCCAAGTCGGCTGCCACGTCACCTCCATTATGTCCACGTTAGAAATTTTCGTTAATTTTTTACGATGAGACCAGAATTGATTGAAATTGTTTATAATGTGATTAAATTGATGAGTTTTCTATATTAGGACCAAAATTGATAAATTCTGTTTATATTGAGACCAAAATTGATTTTTTTTCCTTAAAAATATTACTCCCTTCGTCCCAATACTATAATCTTATTTACTATTTTTGTCCGTCCCAAAACAATAGTCTCATTTCCATAAATAATCGTATCACCATAAAATTATTTATACTTTTTTATTATTATTACACAATTGCCACTACTTTTTACACTAATACATTCACAAGGGCAAAAAAAGTCATTTATCCTTACTTTTTACCAATTATCAATGTAATATCAATGTTCTTTAAATTTCGTGTCCAACACAATAAGACTATACTTTTGGGACGGAGGGAGTATTATATTTGTATTATAAGATACTAATTAAATTATTTTTTTCCTTAATTTGTACTATATTTAGATATATTAATTAATATTAAAAAATCAACAAGTTAAAAAATATATATAATTTTTGTTACTATACGGAGGTAATACATTAAAATACTATTCAAACCAAAACTTAAATAAAAAAATTTAATTTCAAATCAAAATCAAACAAGCTCTATTATTAAAGGAAATATAAGTAAATACAATATATAAAATTGATTCTTTGATTTATTTTTTCGAATATAATACATCACAAAAAATTGTTTTATTGATAAAATCTTAAATGTAAAATTTCATTAAAATTACAATGATTATAATTACTAAAAAAGTATGACATCATTTACTTACCCTTAAAATCACAATTATTATTATTACTAAAAGAAATATAATTAATTACTTACGTGTAAAATGAATTGATACCCCCTATATAAGGACTGATTCAGTCATTCATACATCCATTAACACAACAATATATTTCGTTCATGCTTAGTACTTCGATTTTATATTTCAAACAATAGATGCCGATAAGTTCTCGACTAGGTTGCCATGCAATAACAACTATACTGAATGACTCAATAATTGGTGAATTATTTCACATCTCATGTATGTTCTACATAAATATTTTGCTTGTTTATTCATTATTTTTTTATGTTTTTTTTTTCAATAAATCTCAAATTTGTTGTAGTAATAATAGATTTTTTAGATTTTTATATCTCTACATATATAAAAATCTCAAATTGCCTAAATTACTTAGAGTCATTGAAATTATTAAAATTTTGTGATAATAAGCCGTATTTTGTTAATTTTCACATTAAATTAATTTTTATTACCAAATAATCACTTGAAATCTAATTTAATTTTATTGCGATCGCAAAATTTGTCCATTTTTTTGTAAAAATAAAATGCACGAAATTCTTCCAAGATTAAAATTGTAAAAAATCACTTAATCAAATTAATTGTTAAACTGCTTTTTATAGCTATAAATATATGTTCACCAAGGTTCTATTGTATCATCAAATAAGTTTTAAAATTTAACAAAAAATCCTCATTTTTGCATATTTTAAATTTTCACTAATTTTATTTTTTAATATAAAATGGTAGTTAAAAAAACAAAAGGTTGTCAAAGAATTCTCATCCAACAGATCGAGAACCAAAGTGACAAGTATGCTTCATTCTCGAAGCGTCGATTGAGCCTTTACAAAAAGGTGAACGAGCTCAGCACCCTTTGTGGTGCTGACATGGGGATAATGATTTTCTCTCTAACAGGAAATCTATACTCATTTTTCAGCCCAAGTATGGATGTCCTAATGAGGAGATACAAAATTCCTAACCAACACCCTGATCGCATGACTCGGTACATCGAAGATCATCTCCGGAACCAAGTGCAGCAGCAAAATCAGCAGTTGGACGAGGTTTTAGAGATGAAAGAAAAAAATCAAAATAAGGGATAAAAAAACTCAATGAAATCGAACAAACTCATGTAAAGGGTTGGTGGGAACAGGTACCCGTTGAGAGCCTCGGCCCAGGAGAGGTCCTAGAGTGGACTGCCTGGTTCATGACCCTTCAAGCCTGAGCCCACCAGATGATAGAGGAGATGAGGAATGGTGCTAGTACTAGTGGCGGCGCTGTTGCTGCAATCCCATAACAACAACAAGTAATTTGCAACAGCATACCATTCCGACTATTCTTGCAAATCTAGTCATTTCGGCAACCTATAATCCGCCGGTAGGATCATCATCGTGTTCAAGCCATTATAATGTTGTTCCATAGCCTTCGTCATCCTCATATCAGCCTCAACAAGAATCGTTTATGGGAGATCAAAACACGGGTGACGTTTCTAGCCCGTTTTATCATTTTTTAGGATCTTTTATTGACGAATATTTATTTAGAATGGATGATGATGTTGTCACATTGTCTGCAGGCTTGAATTGAAGCTTCTTTCCGTTGGATCAAAACTTAGATGATAATTCCGGAAACAGTGGCAACAATAATGGCAACAACAGTGACAACCGTGAGGGTTCTACTTTGTGAACCTCAGATGATTGGAAAATGGGGTTGCAATGGCAATGGAGAAGATGGGTCTCTATTGATGGTTATATGATCTTCTCACTAGCTATTTGAGCGAGTTTAATCAATCGATCGATCTCATCGAGTTGTTTATCTCTTTCTTTTATTTCTTCTTTTATTTTGTAAATTGTTATACCGAGTGATATCTTATTAGAGTTTTGTTTAATTATATACCGAGTGATATCTGAATAGGATAAAAGGGTTTGTTTGGTTGTATGTTAAAATAATAAAAATTTGATTGTAATAATATTTGATGTAATAAATATTTGATTGTAATAAAATGGTTTTTCGATGGGTTTCCGGTAAGTGCCTGGTAAATTTCCGAAAGGTTTTTCGGTGAGAATAGAACCCTTTTTTTTGTGCCGATTTTTTATGGGTGTTCGAGTGTTAGAGTGATGAGCCGAATTCCGTTTTGCAGCAATGTGAAATCATATCCGAGCCTCGCGTGGCACGCGATCTCCTTGAAGCAAATTCGGCCCTCCACATTCGCCTCATAGGATAGAACGAATTATGAACGGAATATCAGATTTCGTAAATCAAATTAGGAAGGGAGAGATTTTGCAGAGAAAACATAAATTGAGAGAGTATTTGGAAGAGATATTTGAGAATTGATTTTTCAGATTGTTCATGCTCGGAGGAATTGCTGAATCTTTTCTTTCCTTGGAGCTGCGTGATTTTGTCATTGGTTGTATATGAAGAAATCGAAGATGTTAGTGCGCAATGGGTAAACCTCCGCCGAACCTAATACCCCGAAAACTAGGCCCGACAGACAAGACACACTAGGGGCAGGTGACCTGAGCCGTCGAAGGTTTGAACTCATGGCCTCACGATCACACGTCCAACCCCTACACCACCAGGCCATCCCTACGGGACCAATTTATTTTTGAGAGAGAGATTCTGTCTCTCAATTTTTGGAACACACGGGGGTGTTTGGGTTTTTTCCTAATTTCCTGTTTATTTGATTTTAAGATTCATCTTAATTTTTATAATATGAGTTTAGCCTGTTAATTTCATTTTGATTCAGTATTATTATTATTATTATTATTAATTTTGAATTTTATTTAAATTTATTTTTGCTAAGTAAATTGTACTTTTATTTACAATGTTTGAAAAAATAATAGGTGTGTTTACTTGTGATGTTTTGGTTTTGGATTTTAATTTTAAATAGACAAATTTTGAATTGAAATGATTGTATGATGTAATATAAATATGTATTGATGTGGTATTTTAAATGTAAAATTAAATTTTAGTATAATAAATTAAATAAAATTTGGATGTTTGATTTGATATTTTTGAAGGAAAAAAAAAAGTAAAATTATAGGTAAGTAAACAAAGTCATTATAATTTTTAATTTAAATTATTGATTGTTAGTGATTACTTTAAGAAACCGAAACTAAATTTAATGAGAGAATAAAAAAATAGATTAATTCCAAAAATAAATGAAGTAATATATTTATATAAACGAATTAATTATTATAAAATTATAAAATTATAACTTAAGTAAAAGTAGATATTTTAAAATAATTACTCCATCCGTCCCATATATCATTGTTTATGTTATCGTTTTTGTCCCACATCTAATATCACTTTCTTTTTATAAAAAAAAAATGATTAAGCATCTTAATTTCATTTTAAATGTTAATTAAACTGATTAGTCATCTTATTCTTAATCTATAATGATTTATATTATTAATTATTTTTACTAATATATTCTTAATTATCTACTAATTATAATTATCATAAATTGTCGTGTCTCCAGTAACCAAGAAACACAATATGAGACGGAGAGAGTAGTATATAATGCAACAAAGAAAAAAAAAATTAAGATGAAAATATTGTGTGTTTGGTTGGGGATTTTTGCCCGAATTTTACTATTAACTATTTTTTTTTATTATAATATCAAATTAAATATTTTTATTTTTGTGTTAAATACATAAATTGTATTGATAATATTAAAAATAATTATTTATATTAAATTTTTGTAAATTGATAAAATATATACTCCCTCGGTCATTTGCTCAAATGTTTGGACATTGATTTTAATAAAAGTTTACTATAATTATTATTTTTTATAATAAAAATAATAATGTACTTTTTGTTAAAAAAAATATAATATATTTTTTAATAACAATCCAAAAAAAAATATGCATAACTTTGAAAACTTCTAGTTTAGCAACAACTTTCTTGTTCGTGACCTCAGTGCTATCACGTGGCATGCTCTACCATAGTGTCACAGGCTGATATTCCTACCCTTGGTTCTCGATCATAGTTTGTCCCATATGTGCGAACCCTTGTCCTGTACGGCCGAATAATGACCCATATCTTGGTGCAAATACGTGTTCCACATTATTATCCCATATTGTATGGTATATCCCGGGCGTGTTGTGCATAGGGGACGGCTGGTCTAGGCCTCAGCGCGGGCGTGGCCTAGGCGCCGGGCGTGTCAACTTCTTGACACGTTACATATGGTATCAGAGCGGACCTTGACGCTGGTAGCGAACGAAGCGACAAAGTGGGCATGTCTCGAGTCAAGGAGCATGTCGGTGGGCACGTCAAGGATGATCATGTCCTAAGGTAACTGGACAGTCCGACGTTGCCGAGCACGTCAAGGAAGAGCATGTCCTAAGATAACTGGACATCCCAAGGATGAAGAGTATGCTCGACGTTGCTGAAAAGGTCAAGAGGGCCGAGCTTTGTTCGTGGGGGAAAAACCACATTAATGACGATCATCGGGCGAGAATCGCACAAGCCGCAACAAAGGATGTCCCGGATGGTGTGTGGAGATGCGCAACGGAATTTGGGTCACATGTGGATTATGGCAAAAGACCTCGCTGGCTGTTGGTGAGCACCCAAAGAATGGTATGCAGGAAAAGGTTCGGCGGAGGCATACTGAGGATGCAAGAAACAACGTCAGTGCACTCAAGTAGTGTCGCATGAGGGCGTTTGCGACTTGAAGTGGGGGATTTTGTCACGGGCTGACATTCTTGCCTCTGGTTTTCGGCCATAGTCCGTCCCATGTGTGCGAGCCCCTGTCCTGTACGGCCGACTAATGACCCATATCTTGGTGCAGGTACGTGTTCCGCATGATTCTCCTATACTGTATGGTATATCCCGAGCGTGTTGCGCATAGGGGACGGCTGGTCTGGGCCTCAGCGCGGGCGTGACCTAGGCGCCGGGCGTGTCAGCTTCCGGACACGTTACAATGGGCTCTACAGAAGTTGTTCAAAGCGACACCAGAGCTTTTTTTAGCTCTTATTTGATTGTAATTGTTTAGCGTTTCTTGTTCGTGCTATTAGATATCTCGTTGTAGTCGATTGTAAAATTTGAAAAAATGAGAATTAGTATTGTATTCTCTTTTGAAATTGCATTTGAATTTAAATGTTATGCAATGAATTCAAAGATAAAAAGAAAAAAGGATTTTAGCCTTGAATTGCTTGCGGTGAAAGTGCAAGTGGAACAAGTTTTTTATTCTAGCGATTGATGTATCCCGAGTGGTTTGAATTAGTATGTTCCACTCTAAAATTTTACTCTCTACGTCCAAACATCCGCAACATTTTTTTTTGGTATATCCCAAACACCCTACAATAGTTTCAAAATAGGAAATAATTAATTATATTTAATTTTTATCCCACATTTTATCTATCACATCACCCAAATTTAAAAAAATAAAATAAAAATATACATTTATCTCTTCATCACATCACCTAATTTCTAAATTATCTTACTTAATACTATTCACCTAAAAATCCGTGTCCAAAGCAAATGTTGCACCTTGTATGAGACGGAGGGAGTATTTTCTTATTTTTAGTAAAATAACCATAAAAGAGAAATAAAAATAGGAACAAAAAAGTAGAAATATGGTCCCGCTATAAAAAAAATCATAATTACTTTTGGTCAACTATTAAAAAAATTAACAGCGTTGGCATAGACCTAACAAAATTTGATGTGGAATCTGATCTTGACCGAATACGGCCGTGTATAAACAATAAAAAATAAATTGAACAAACAATACGGTTATGTACGTCTCAAGTGGGTTTGATTTTTTTTTTTTCCTCTATTTTTTTACTGTATGTTTCATAATTTAAAATCAACTTTCTTTTCCGTAGCCCAAACAACTGACAACTTCCCCCATTTCTGAACAAACAAGCTCAAGCTCAGCCTTGAGGTCAGTGGCGGAACTAGCTTCCGAACTGGGAGAAGGAGGACGAATTGTTATGTCGGTTTATTTTATTCTACTCTTTTATTTCAATTTCAACATATTTTTAGCTGTTAATTTTCAATTTTTTTTTAAAAAATTTAATAAGATAGTTTGGCCTTTTTGTGTATGAAAAAAATAAAAATAAATAAAATTGTAAGAACCAACTTGTCGATTATTTTAAGTCACTCTATCTCTTTTGATTTCTATTTACACTGTAAAATAGAATAAGAAATTTGAATCGGAGAGCAAAATTACATAATTAAATTTTAAAATATATTTTTATTAATTAAAAAAATGGGCTGGAGGGCAGTTGCCCCCTAGCCCCTACCTCGCTCCGTCCATGCTTGAGGTTCATCCGCTCTCCGGAGTTGTTGTCGTCATTTACTGTTAGATGATCATAAGAGTCATTCTTGGGAGACTAGAAGAGACATTAGATTGATTTCCATACCTCATGAATAAGATCCTCCCCTTCAAAGCGAACCAGAGTCGAAAACGATATGTTGTAATGCTTTATTGGTGGAGTCGAAGAGAAGTTTTTGACCGTGTTGGAGTTGAGGAGAAAGTAGCTCGACTTTTTTGAGCGATGTCGGGTCAAGAATGTCATCGAAAGAAATCAATCTTGAAAGGAAGTCGTCTCAATTGAAACCCAAGGCTAGAAGCTCTAATTCGATGTAGTTAAATGATGATTCCAGGTCATCATCGTTGTCAGATGGGAAGTGTTGAAGCTCATCTTCTATGGAGAATGGTTCAAGGACACCGGACTGCATCAATCTAATCCGTCTATTGAATATTCTGAATCTTCGAGTTTTCTTACCGGATCGAGCTTGAAGAATGCGAAACAAAGAATTAGAAATCATCAAACAAAAACCCACCTGAGATGTACGTGGTTTTGGAACACGGCCATGTTTCGATTTATTTTTTATGGTTTATACACGGCTAAATTTAGTAAATACGGCAGTGATCGGTCAAAATCACATATCATATGTATATGTCATGTCCACATCAGCGTTGCCGTTAATTTTTTTAGTGGTGATTAAAATATTTTATAACGGGATCAAAATTGACGATTAGTTTATAATAGAACCAAAATTGATGTCTTATTAGTATTATCTCAAAATTTTTACCAAGAAAAATACATACGAGAAAACTGTTTAAGGTTTAGGGTTTAGGATTTAGAGATATGTACATATTTTTGTTTACTTATCTATTCTCCAAACAAGAGAAAGAAAAATAGATGGAGAGTGAACTTGTGATCGTGAGGTTATAGTTTGTTAAATCCCGACGCCTCTAGTTCTCCTAATGTTATTTTTTTTGTCGGGCCTAGATTGCAGGGTATTAAGTTCGGCCCGAAGTTTATTTAATGTGGACATAAAATAGACCCAAGAGAAGAGAATAATCATAATAATGAATTAACATGAAGCGAAGTGAAAGATGGATGGAGCATGAGGAAACTATGAAATGAGCATGAGCAGAGGCGGTGGGGGGCGAGCGGTGGAGCGGCGGCTACTCCGCCTTCTCCATGGCCGCGAAACACGGATCCGCCTCCGCGAAATCCATGCCCAATTCCTACGCCACAACCTCCACCACTCCAACCAGCTCCTCTCCCACTTCACCTCCGTATGCAGCTCCCTCTCCCAAATGCCCTACGCTGTCCGGGTATTTCATCAATCGCCCAACCCCAACATTTTCCTCTTCAACTCCGTCATCAAGGGCTTCTCCATCTGCGGGCCCTTCCACGGCTCCATTGCCACATTCTCCGCCATGAAACGCCGCTGCATTTGGCCCGACCAATTTACCCTTGCGCCACTGCTCAAGGCTTGCGCCAATCTCTTTGACCTCCATTTGGGGCTTCAGGTTTACAAGGATGTTATGGCGCTAGGGTTCGAGCGATTTGGCGCCATTAGAGTCGGGTTAGTCGAGCTGTTCGTGAATTGTGACAGAATGGGAGATGCCGAGAAGGTGTTCGACGCAATGCCTCAACGGGACGTGATCATTTGGAACTTGATGATTCGTGGGTATTGCAGGACTGGTTCCGTTGAAACCGGATTGAATCTGTTTCGACGAATGGGTGAATTCAGGAATGTTGCTTCTTGGAACACAATGATTTCGTGTTTAGCACAGAGCAACCGCGACAGTGATGCTTTGAAGCTCTTCACTGAGATGCAGCAAAACCAATCTTTCGAGCTTGATGAAGTTACTGTCATAACTGTTTTGCCAATCTGCACTCGTTTAGGGGAAGTTGAAGTCGGGAAGAGCCTTCACTCCTACGTCAAATCGACAGGCCTTTTGCACGAATTCGTCTCCGTGGGCAATGCATTGGTGGACTTCTACTGCAAGTGCGGCGAATTATCCAAAGCACTTGAAGTGTTCGATGAAATGCCTTGCAAGAATGTGGTTTCTTGGAATACAATGATTTCGGGATTGGCATTGAATGGGGAGGGTGAGCTTGGGGTGCACTTTTTTGAAAAGATGATGAAGACAAATGGAGGCTGTGGTGTACCTCCAAATGACAGCACACTTGTTGGGGTTTTGGCATGTTGCGTGCACGCTGGGCTAGTGGAAAGGGGTCGAGGTTTCTTTGCTTCAATGAGTGTGGATTACAATGTAGAGCCGAAAGCGGAGCACTATGGGTGTATGGTGTATCTACTCGGGCGTAATGGTTGTGTGAAGGAGGCTTATGAGTTGATCTTAAAAATGCCGAAGGTGAAGGATGAGACTATTGCTAATGTTAATGTTAATGCTGATGTTGTTAGAGTATGGGGTGCTTTGCTTAGTGCATGCCAGACAAGTGGGGAACTGGAGGTTGCGGAGAGTGTGGTGAAGGAGCTGATCGATCTTGAACCCGGGAACTCAAAAAACTATGTGTTTTTGTCGAATATTTATGCTGAGAAGGGAGATTGGAAAGGTGTTGAGGAGGTGAGGATGATGATGAAAGGGAATTGTGTGTATAAGAATGTCGGGCAGAGCGTCGTGGGATGACGGCGAGGGCGATAGTTGGAGTGAGAGTGTTGTTCCGGGGATAGTTAGTTTGGTTGAATGCTACCAAATATCTGTTCCACCACATGTAGAAAAAAATATAGACGATTTGATATTCCCGTAAGGATGACCTAGTGGTGTGTCAGATTCGATCGGGTCTACCCAAAGTGCTTATGCCCAAAATATTTGGGTAAACTAAGAAAAGTCGACATCACTTATGTTTAACCAAATTTCAATGTTAGATCTGAATTTCTATTTTTTTTTTTTTTTGTAAAGCAGGTTATCTTTAGACTAATATAAAGAATTGCAAGCTGCTGTATATATATATAGATGTAGAAGAGCCTTCCATATATTTGTGCTACAAAGATGGACTTTAATTTGTTCTCCTCTGTTTAGTGTAAATTGAAGAAAAGAGATGAAAACTAAAGTAATATATAGGAATATTGACTAAATCGAAATCAATTGTTCTATAGAGATAAGTAAAAAATATATTCAACCACCCCCCCCGCACCCACCCCCCAACTAAAACTAATTCTAGTACTTCATGTGTCTCAGTTCAGCTATATTTGCTGTCCGAGTAAAACTTAGCCGTTTTTTCTAGTAAAAGTACTTTACACTTGAATATCAAATATCTTTATTTTTTATACTGGCCGATAACGTACAACGTCATGAATAAATTTAGGGATGATATAGGATCTATGCCGACGATGACGTACTGAAGTTTTCGGTATGGTATAAATATATAAAGTTTCGACATACTGAAAATTGATATATTGAAATTTTCGGTACGGTATCAATATATACTGTTTACATCGAAATTTTCACTTTCGATACGATACCGATTATACCGAAAATATAATTTTAAATTTTAAAAAAATTTAAAAATATTATCATCTCCACCACAATTATATTGAAAAAAAAAAATTCAATTTTTTAGTTCATAGTTTATTACATTTAAAGGGAAACAACAAACCAGCTGCCGCCCTCCCCGCTGACAGACTGTAGCCAGCGGCGGCCGGCGTCAATAGGAGAGGGTGGCCAAAGGCTAACGTCACCGGGGTAGGAGTTTGGACTTAGAGGAGGACTGGTGTCGTCGAAAATTAAATTTAGGATTGTGTTGGAGGTGCGAGTTGTATATTGTAGTGTAAAAATTGTATATTAGATTTAAGAATTTAGGATAATAGTCTGCATATTTTTTGTTTTGATTTAAAAAATTAATAATAATTATTATTTATATTAATAATTAAATTATTTAATAAAAATAATATCAGTATGATATCATATTAAAATATTGAATTTTCTAAGAAAATTCATACTAATATCGTACCGAAATTTTTGATATTTTCAACACAATACAATACTGATAAATTGGTATTTTAATATGTTCGATAAATTTCTTCATTCCTAAATAAAATAAACTTTATACTCGTCTATTAAATTACATATTTATAAAATATTAATATAATTAAATTTGTATACAAAAGGCATTTTATTTGATATTTTGTAAGAAAATAATATATTTGATTTAATTTTTTAAAAAAATATAAATAATAACAAATAAGTGAAAATTGATTATCTAATATATATAGATATATTTGGAAAAGTAACACAATGATTAATTCAATCTAATATATAATATATATATATATATAGGGCCCACTGATGGCAGCGAGTGAACTCAGTGGCGAGTCTCCAATCTGTGCCAAACTCCGAGTTTGTGGTGGATATGAGAGCTCCCTCAAAAATACAATAAAAAATAAAAATTATATATAAAAAAATACAAAGAAAAGTGCAAAGTGGGACCCAGTGGCTTCTGGAATTGGTCGTTGAGCCACTAATTATCTGCCACATGTCGCGCCTCTCCTGCCCTAACCCCTATCCCCAATGTCTGCTTGCTCTCTGGCCTCAAATAAAAACCCTTATTTTCTGCATTTTTTTTTTTTTTTAATTTTTTATAAAACTCAAATCCGCGACATATTTTCTAGTGGCTCACAATTTTTCTGGTCTCTTCGATTGCTGAAAAAGTATAAACTAACGACGGTTGTCTCTTCGATTCTTCTCTTCTCTTCTCTCTGCTCCCCTACTTCTCAGCTGCTACTGCTCCTGTGATTCATCGTTTTGATTCCAAGTTTTTGGGTAGCTTTGACGAGGTTTGGATCCGGCATTAATGAGCTTTTGATTGGGTTTACTTCATGCATGATCTGGGAAGGCTTGGACTTTGCTGTGTAATTTCTTGCCATGGACATTTTCGAAGGTAGCCCTGTTTGGGGAATTTTATAGCGAGCAGATGATGGTGGTACTTATTATTATTAATTTTTTTTTTTTTTTTTTTTAAGTTCACGTTTTCGGTGGTTAACTGAGTCCTTGTCTGTTCGACCTTACCGATTGGGTGCTTTTTTCTTGTTTTGCTTGTGTTTATGTATGTTCGTTGTTATTCTGGATTGGATTTGAAGCTTAAGGCCACAAGCGGTTTGTTTTGGTGAGGATTCTGGAAGGAATTAAGTACAAGCTATTTTTACAATTGCTACTTTTGAATTCAGAGATGCGTCTTACACCTTTTTTCTCGCTTTTCGTCTTCACTTGAATTTTGTTTTTCTTAAAAAATAAAGGCATGTTTATTTGTCTCGGAGTTGCGTTGTTCTAATATTGCTCCGATGTTCATATTGAATGAAAAAAAGAAAAAGAAAAAAAAGGAAAGAACCTGCTTATGAAGATTTCATGATCGGAAAGAGGCATATTCTCGACCTATTTTTTTTGTTGAGTTTTTTCTTTTTGCAGTTTTAGTGTTTCTTGATCAGGTCTCATCCATAACTACTATCACTACGGCCAAGCTATTTGGCATTGTTGTTGAGAGAAATGAACGAAAGTGTCCCCTGTATCTGAAGCATAAGCCCCGGTCCTCTGTTTAGATGGACCCTTATTCATCTGGAGAAGACCTTGTTATTAAGGTCGTCTTAAAGTTATTGAAGTTCTTGTAGTCACTATTAATTGCTCTCTAAATCTTGAAGTCTCTTAGTAAAGATCCATCAAATTCAATCTTCCATGGCAGACAAGGAAGCCTTACACAATCACAAAGCAGCGTGAACGATGGACTGATGAGGAACATAAGAGGTTTCTAGAGGCCCTCAAGCTCTATGGCCGTGCTTGGCAGAGAATAGAAGGTTGTTTTTATTTTGCTTATTTTATGGGCGATATCAATTTGTGAAAATACAATCGTTTTCATGTCATTTACATGCTTCCTTTTTTAATCGAATCCAATTTGGTATTTTTGCAATAGACCCACTTAGTGTTGTTTTCAGATGCGTACGTCCATTCATTATAATTATAATTCTTGTATACATATTTTTATTTTTCTTTGGTGTTTGGTGATGGTGCAGAACATGTAGGAACCAAAACTGCTGTGCAAATCAGAAGCCATGCACAGAAATTCTTTACCAAGGTCAATTATACTGTCTTTTCTTTCAATCTTGTTTGCAATATGTACCAGTATCTTTTGCTTTGTTATAGCTTTCATCCTGGCAGTAAGTGCTTGATGAAAGTACGCATGTTAATCTGTCAAAAGAAATGATTTGATAGCTTTCATCCTGGCACTTTGTTTCATAGCATGAAATTCTTCAATGAGATCTTACCAATGATTGTGAGAAACATCAAGACTAGGGACACTGGGTTGGAGATTTAGGTGTGTTTCTTTGTGTTTTCAATATTATAAAACATCACATCTAAAAACTTATTACTATTATTTTTGTAAAATATTACATCAAAATAGTTTCTCTATTCAAAACATCACATTAAAACATGTGTTCAATTCACTTTTCTTACTATTTCCAAAATAATCTAAAACACCCCACCCCAAAACACTAAAGAAACACTATCTCTTAGCTTTCTTGAAATTTAACACCTTGGACTTTTGTTGGGAAATGTTAGTAGATTTATGGTTATAGAAGTTGGCATAAATTAAATCTAACAAAATCAACGTAGATGACAACTAAGAATATAATTGAAATCCAAAACAAATAATATAAAAATGATATAAAGTGAAAAAATACTATTAATTATTTCTAAATTAATTCAATCTGGAAATTGATTGTTGTACTATACTACTATTATGCTTTTATTAGAACAAATAACCACAAGTGCATGGCTGTGCAATCCATGTGATGCACTGTCACAAGCATACATTAATCATTTCTGTTTTGTTGATATTGGTCCGTCCCCTGTTTGATCTTTAGGTGCATGATTTTTCAGGTTTTTTACCATGGTGGTATATGTGATTAAGATGCATAACGGTACCGAGAAATATATAAAAAATGAGATACTGGCACATTATGTAGATGACAAAGAAAAATAGAATTGTGTGCTGTTTAGTGGAGTCTACCACAAGTGTTGTGCTTTCTCTTCTCTTGAGTCAGTATTCATGCTAACAATCCCTTTTTTTTATGATATTTTGATCAATTAAGTGCTATGTTAATGGTATGTGTCTGTTCTCCCAATTTGGTTAAAGATCACAATATAACTATCCATCTTGATATATGATTAATAGGAGATATTTGCTCGAGTGCAAAACTAGTGTTTGTTTGAAGGATTTTAACAAAATTTTACTATTTACCAAATTTTTTCCCCAAAACATCAAATAAAATACCTATTTTTTATTTTTGATATTATACAAAAGAATAATTTTACATTCAAAACATCACATCATCACCTATTTATATTACATCATACAACTATACCAATTCCAAAATTTTTACTATTCAAATCTCAAACCCAACATCCAAACCTCCAAACAAACACACCCTTAAAATAAAGCGACTAAGATATTATCTGCATTAGGGTAATTTTTCTACGCTGTAGTGCTTGATTCTGACTAAGGGATCGAAACCTCTAAATTGAAGATTTTCAGTATGCACAAGATTTACATGAAACTACATCCACAAGCAAGAGAGTATGAAAATCCACTAATTTAACCAGGGAAAATTCAATTATATTTTCAATGGATATGCAAGGATTTTCTGATAGCAAATCTCCCGTTTATAGTTGAATTCGTCACAAGATTACTCTCTTTAGTGTAAAGTGGGTGCATGTCAATATAAACATCTCATTATGGTCTTGGATTATCCTTGCCAACACAAAACTATAATCGAGTATAACATGCTTTTGTAGGAAGGTTAGTATTTCTGTAAAGTACAAGTTAAGTTCTTTTCCAAAGTAAGTTTCTACATAGGGTAATTCTTGTGCATGACTAATTGCTTCATAAGAAAACATCCTCTCCAAAGTTAAAAAAATCCGGCCTAATAGAATTCTGAGTTATAAGCTTAACAATCTACCGCCCTTAAATATCATTTTCTACTAGCCTAGAATCAAACTTTTCGATGCCTAACTTCATTTTGAAACACCTACAAGATCATTGCTTATTTAATTGAGTTGTATAAGTTGTATAGCATATCATGTAAACCTTTGCTTATGTTCATTCCAACAATGCCGATCATGCTTTGATCTGAGTCTGCATGTATCAACTTGCACCTTCAGAGGTTTCTTTCGTTGTTTCAAAAGTCCCTCCAAGGTAACTGTGCAAACTATTTTGTCTGTGATTGATTCATTCTTTTAGCACTAAATGTCTCTTGACTGTTTCCCACTATTAAACTACCAAAACCATCGTGTTTTTGTCGATATAGTTCGCTGCTTGTCATTCAGAATGCATGACTTTATCAGCTAGTTGGTCTATAAAGAAATTTCTAAGTATCCAGGAATTTCAGAATCATTCTCTATACCTGCTACTGGCCTCCGCGGTCTAGCAGTCACTAATGTGTATATTATATTTATTTATTATTTCCAATTCCTGATTATGTGGTGTCTTCCCTTCACCAAAGCGACACTACTCCCTAGCAGGATTGATAGAACTATTTAGTACAGTAACAAGTCACTAGTACCAGACTTTTTTGGAAATTACATTATTGGTTCTGTAAAAATCTTTTTAGGGTGTGTTTGTTTGGGGATTCTCCCCCAAATACACTATTCATCCCATTTTTTTCCCTAAAAAATAACAAATCAAACACCTATTTTTCATTTTTTATATTATACTCCCTCCGTCCTAGATAAGATGGACGCATTACTATAGATACGAGAGTTTAGGTAAAATATAATTAGTAAGTAATTAAGAAGTGTATTAGTAAAAATAATTATAGATTAAGATTAAGATAACTAAATATTTTAATTAAAATTAAAAAAATTTAAAATTTAAATTTTAAAATGATTAAAGTGTATAATCAATTTTCCAAAAAAAGAAAGGACAAATTATGTGGGACAGACGAAAATAGAAAATAGAGACAAATTATGTGGGACGGAGGGAGTACTAAAAATCAATTTTACATTCAAAACATCACATTAACACCTATTTATATCACATCATACAACTATTCAAATTCAAAATTTTTACTATTCAAATCCCAACTCAAAATCCAAACCCCAAAACAAACACACCCTTAATACTCTATTATTCTGGAGTTCTTCCTCTTCGATAGTTTTTTGGTATAACCTCCTCCAACATATTCCTTTTTTAATTTAAGATCTTATTTCATTTAATAACTCTTATTATTATTATTATTATTATTATTATTATTACTACTCCCTCCATCCCACATACCATGTCCACGTTGTCGTTTCTGTCCGTCCTACATTCCATGTCACTTTCCTTTTCTGGAAAATGATTATACACTTTAATCTCATTTTAAACTTTTTAATTTTAATTAAACTAATTAGTTATCTTAATCTTAATTTATAATTATTTATATTATAAGATAATTATTTTACTAATATATTTTTAATTATCTACTAATTACACCCCTCCTAAAATACCGTGTCTACAGTGCAGCAGACACGGTATGTGGGACGGAGGGAGTATTATAATGATAAATCTTTTTACTTACAATCATATTATGCATATTTCAAGAAATATTTTTTCCATTTTCTTTAAAATTCTTAGTTAGGTCCCATTAGTGTTTGTATTGTTATGAAAGATGACCAGTGCAAGCTATTCACCCATCTAGATAATTTAGTCTATAGCTGGTTGTTTGATTTTCACTGAGTTCATGTTCAGAAGCTGTTTCAAAATTTTACTATCTGTTACCATAACATCAATAGAAAAAGATGCCGTAAATATTTCTTAACTTAAAATTTTTAAATGTATTCTTTCAACAGTGTGTATATATGGATATACTAAAAATGCATTTCTTTAATTTGAGAATGAAAATTGGTGCAAGTTATTAAACAAGATTTGCATATTTCTACGGCCTTGCATTGCTTTACATTATAAAACATATATAGGCCTTTCTCAGATAATGATGAGTCATGACCATTTGCATTTAATCATCTGTTTTACTTTTCATTTATCAAATTTGTAATCAAACTCCCAAAAGGTGTCATTCATAATGAACACAATTTCGGGAACATGTGGACAAAGGAAATATAACCATTATTTTTTTTGTGTCGTAAATTGTAATGGTTAGGTTAACATCATCAGGAGAATGGTCGAAGTAATATTTTAACTCTAAATTTGAACATGATTTCGAAGGATATGTATGAAGTCAAGCTTGACTGAAATTACTGGACTCATAATGTCTGAATTCTAAATTGTTATGTATCATCGGCAATAATTTCCCTGCTAGATTCCTGGTTCTTATGTGAAGGCCCCAAACTCCCTGGATTTGGAGGATACAAGTAAAGATGAAAGTAGTCATGTGCTTGCATAAAATGTCTGCATTTTATTTACTTCTTTTTAACATAGATTAAACTTGTTTAATTACTCAGGTTTCTATATTCACTTCATAAATTTTTTCTGTTACATATATATATATATATTTTAAAAGTTCAGGTAGAATAGGCAAGAAGTAAAATTAACTTGATGCACATGAACACAAGGGTTGATTTATTTTTGCATTCATTTTTTGAGTTTAGATAGAGATTTTTGGAGGATACAAGTAAAGATGAAAGTAGTCTTGTGCTTTCATAAAATGTCTGCATTTTATTTACCTCTTTTTAACATAGATTAAACTTGTTTAATTACTCAGGTTTCTATATTTACATCATAAATATTTTCCGTTACATTTTTTTTTTTTCTTAAGTTCAGGTAGAATAGGCAAGAAGGAAAATTAACTTGATGCACATGAACGTAAGGGTTGATTTATTTTGGCATTTCATTTTTTGAGCTTAGATAGAGGGTTTTGGAGTTTTGAAAATTTTTGGAAATAATAAAAAGTTGAGTATTGATGTAATATTTTTTGAAAGTAAATATGCATTGATGTGTTTTTTTTTAAGAAAAAAAAAAAAACTACTATTGATGAATAGTATCAAAACTTTCAAAAGTGTATATATAAATATAGTTTAAATTTGACAAGTACAGGAACAGGAGATACCAAGGATCAGTAAGGTTGCAAAAGTTGCATCACTCTGCAGCTGACCATACCTAGCTGCAATTTATGACTGGCATAGAGCAAAACTGGTGTCAAAAACGTTGAGCTAGTGATGAAAAGATAGCAGAATCAACAAAACTACTGGTAGATGGAAAGAAATGGAATAATATTGTTAGCTTCTTCATTTTGTTGGACCTCTCTAAAAGTTATTATCCAGGAGCTGTAGGAGTTCTTGCTAGGATGTGCTTGGGAGTCCTCACTATTGTTAGACCAATTTCTGCGGAATAAACCCCTGAAAGTGGGACCCTCAGAATGTAAAACTTGGTTAAACCACTTTTTTTTTTTTTTTTTTTATGTTCTAACATTCTGATTCGTTAATGGGCATCTATAACAAGCAGAGAGCGAACGGAAATAATATGCCCAAGTTTTCAGAACCTTCTCTGTTGTTAGTCACTAATAAGAGGAAAACATGACTGATTACCTCCTTGGTTTTGTAGAAGTTTCTAATATTCTGTTTCATAAACAGCCTGTATTTTGAACACAATATCTTCATCCTTACAGATCTTTTGGGGCTGTTAACTCTAGAACAATCTGTCATCAAACAATCTATGATTTAGCCACGGATAACTCTGGCTTTTTATTTAGTGAGATTGATGTTTGCTGACATTATGTTTTATTGCTTATTTATATGATCCAGTTGGAAAAGGAGGCAACTGTTAAAGGGATTCCCATAGGGCATGATCTTGATATTGTAATCCCACCACCACGGCCTAAAAGGAGACCCAGTAACCCTTATCCTAGAAAGACAAGTGTGGGAACTTGTACGTCACCGGTGGAGGTCAAGGATGGGAAAATATTTAAACCAGGTTCTTCTTCTTGCCAGAGTATATTGACAGTCACCTTGGATAAAGAAACCGAGGTATATGCCTCTTCTTCCATTGGCAATTTCTGTTTATCTACTTAATCTCAGCACGAATGCATGCAAGCCATTACGGTTTGTGCTCATGTCCTGTTCCTATGATACTTAAAAACACTTTGTCGAACTTTCTTTACTCTAATGAACATCTTTTGTTTCCTTTGATGCCATGATCTTCCAGAATCCTTGTAATGAAGGGCAATTAGGAAACAATGTTGAATACCCTGAGAAGGATGACTGTAATGTGGTTCTCACTCTTCTCAAAACAGCTCCTTGTGTGTCAGCAAATGAAACTACCTCGTCAGTAACTGATGCAACTAGAAAATCATATTCTTCTAGGCAGTTTGTCCAACTCCCCCAAGAAGCGGGTAATCAAGATGAAACTGCTGCGTCTCAGGTCACTGGTGATGCCAAAGGATTTCAGATGCATAAGTCTGACAATAAAGAGCTTCTACAGGATAATGCCACATTCAACATCTCAAATGTTGTGGATTCATATCATCTAAATGGGGAATCTATGGATCGAGAAAGAAATGATGAGCCGAGACAGGACAAAGATACCAACACATATCCAGTTGATGATGTCCAAGCCTCCTTGAACTATCCTCGCCATGTCCCTGTGCACATTCTTGATGGAAACTTGGGAATGAGTGGAAAAGATAACTCCTCTGACGTGTCATATACAGAATCTCCATTTCAGCAGCTGGGTGGATTTCACAGTGATCAGAATCTATTTATGAATCTGGCTGCAGCTGCTTCTTCTGAACATTACAGTAATGCATCAAGATCTTCTATTAACCAGTCAATTCCTAGTTATCAGCCTATCTTGGCTCCAATCTACAATCAAGATGAGTACCTCTCATTTCTGCACTTGTCGTCTACATTTTCAAGCCTTATCGTGTCTACTTTGTCACAAAATCCAGCTGCTTATGCTGCAGCAAGCTTTGCCACAAACTTGTGGCCATTTGTAAACATGAAAGCTCCTGCAGAACATTCTACACCCCCAGACGGAGCATTTCAATCAAGACCGATGAGTTCAGCTCCTAGTACAGCAGCAATTGCTGCAGCCACTGTAGCCGCTGCAACAGCATGGTGGGCAGCCAATGGTCTACTTCCTTTATGTCCTCCATATCACCCTGGGTTTACCTGCTCTCCATCAATGGTTTCTGCATCTGCGGGGAATGGCTGCCAAGTTGAAGCTGCTAATGATGAAAGAACAGAAGTTAATCTGGATCCTGGCTTAGGTGGTCAACAACTTGAACCGGAGAGCTCTAAAACTTTACATGAACATAATAATTCAGTTTTGAAGTCTCCAACACCATCATCATCAGATTCTGAAGGGACTGGAGGCGAGAAAATGGATGTTGAAATAGGTGCTGCAGAAAATGTAAAAATTGCCGATGGCACTGAACTGCATGATGCAAACAAGTCCAAGAACAAAATGCAGGTGGACCGTTCTTCGTGCGGATCAAACACACCTTCCAGCAGCGAGGTAGAAGCCGATGCATCAGAGAAGCTCACCACAGGAAAAGAGGAGATTCATATCAATGGTAAAGAAGTTTCAGATGAAGTTGATGTAATTCATTCTGCTGGTGACCTCTTAAATCGGCGCTTTAGAAGCAACAGCAATGTGAATGATTCATGGAAAGAAGTGTCAGAAACGGTATGAGACATTCTGCTTCAAACATAGAACTTTTGGTTAAACTGCTAGCATATGCCGTCTAGTTCTTGTTGTTACCCGAATAATTTGCATGCAGGGACGACTAGCATTCCAGGCACTCTTCTCCAGAGAAGTATTGCCTCAAAGTTTTTCACCTCCACCTGATCCCAAGATCAAGTGCAAGAAAGATTCTTCTACACAGGGAGGAGGTGCTGAGGAAAAAGGTGACGTTGGCGTACAGTTGGTCCTCAACGGGCAGGCACGTGATGATACCTATTCCCAGAAACAGGGGGTTGCTGATCATAATGCCTCTTTGATTACTGATGACAAGGACAAGGAGAAGGTGGAGGGACTAGTGAATTTGGGGCTCGGATATGCAAAACTTAAAGCTCCTCGGCGAGCTGGATTCAAACCATACAAGAGGTGCTCAGTCGAGGCCAAGGAAATTAGGGTGTCTCCCAACAGCAGCAAGGAAGAGGAGAAAGGACCAAAGAGACTGCGCGTGGAAGAGGCCGCTACTGCTACCCCTACTCTATAGCGTCGAGAGGAGAGGAGAGGAGAAGAGTATGGAATCTCAATCCAATCCAATCCAATTGTGGCTGGTGAGTTGTTGCATAGAAATTCAGTTCAGTTCAGTTCAGTTAAGTTAAGTTCATTCTCTATTTGTCTGTCTATCTCTATCATAAAATTCTATTTTCATTGCAAGAACATGACATGGAACTTGTCTGGTGTAAGTGTGTTGGTGTGTGTGCTATAACTATAACTATTACTATCACTCTTTACTTTTACTATTTAGGTTCATGAAACCTAACTCTGAATCTGAAACTTGGGTGATGGACATATATAAATTATTCCAAGCAAATAGACTTTCCTTCATGTCTTGGCTGGTTTGATATTAGTTAATTTGTTAGCACAATATTTAATTATTTATTGTTATTATTATTGCCACTCTAGCTAGCTAGATAGCATAGATAACTAATGTTTTCTGCCAAGTGAATTTAGTATTATTTGAAAGGTTTCTTTTAGTTCAGAAAGGCTTTCGTAAATCTTTTCATTCCTCTTGCACTAAGTTGTTGCTAAGGAGAGAGACATGGATGCTGATTTTCCCTTTGTTCACATTAATTCAATAAATTTTTTGAAAAGTATGGAGGACTTCAAACTTTGGAATATTATGTATCTGAGGAAATGTGTCACTGACTTTGAATCGTGGGTGGGTAAAAGCAAGATGTAGATTTTACTAAATGAGTTCAAAAATAGTCTCATGAAATCTATACCTCTTACATCTAAGGTGTCAATTATCAATATATGTTTTGAGGTATTTCATTCCTTTGGGAGACATATTCTAACATTTGACATCAGCCACAAGACTTCGAAAAAACTCAACATCTTTTTATAGAGTAAGCCAATAAAATCTAGATTGTAAACTTCTTGTTGCTATTCTTTGTCCAGTGAAGTGGCCACCTACATAAAGGTATACATTCATCAACAACTTGGGAAATCTCTGACTCTGAAGTGCATCGACTGATCATTCCATCTGATCTAATGTTATAGAGATATGACTCCCTCTCAAATAGTCTATGCCACACTAACTAGATGTTTTCACTTCTTGAAGTTTGACTATGATATGATGGAAGTTGTCCGGTAGCGAGATAGTTCGGTATGTCAGCTAACCATGAATGTTTAGTCTGCACAATGAACAACTTTTCATCCAAGAAATAATTCATTAATACTTGCTATACATTCCTCAGGTTGGATGAGTTTATTTAGATGATTAGTGATGTAGTTTTCCTTTTCTTTTATACCCTTGATCTTTATGTCAAATTCTTAGTGTAGCAATACCTATTTGATGAGGCGAAACTTTGACCTTTTCTTCTCCATTAGATATTTGATTGCTACATGGTATTGGTTAGTGCAAACTATAGTTTTGATTGTGATAAGATATTTTTTTATTTTTTCGAAAATAAAGACAATGCCTAGCAATTTTTTCTCAGATTTAAAGGACTCCGGAGAATGTTTAGAGAATTTTTTTCCAATTAGTTGAGGAAAATGTGAAAAAGCAAAATCAAGTAAAATCAGAGAAGTTCAAGGAAGACACCAACATAAATTTCTAGTTTAGTCTCTTTTATACCTTAGGTTTTCTTGTATTTCTATTGAGTGCCTTTTAAGATTCTTTTAAACAAAACTAAAACTTCCAACTTGATATTTATCTATTTAATTTATTACCTTCCATTGAATTTTTATGAGTAGGTTATGTGTCGAATTCTTGGGACTATATATGTATCACTCTCGTTTAAGATATTTGGGTTAGAATTTTAGGTTTTGCCCTCGTTTAAGATATTTGGATTAGAATTTTAGATTTTGCTCTCGTTTAAGATATTCGGATTGGAATTCTAGATTTTTCTTACACAATAAATTTTAAAATTTTGGTATTATTTTTATTTTTTTTAAAAAAATCAAATTAAATACATTTATGTCTCCCAAAATACCATATCAAAGTATAATCCTTTACTAATTCCAAAATTTTAAATCTTCGTCTAATTTACATTATACACTTTTATTCATTTGATACTATTTATTTTTTAAAAAATAATAGCATCAAATATATTTTTTTCTCACAAAATATCGTATTAAATACTAATTTTTTATTTCTTTTTTTCAAACTAAACCTCCGAAAATCTCAATCTAAACAAAGCCTTCATTTCTGAGCAGATAATACGAAATTTTCCGATGGTGATGAAAAATAATTTTAACAGCACAAGGAACATCACCTTGCACATAATTCATAAATAAAGACGACGATGCGTGACATTGACAATAAAAATTAATTAATTAACGCTTCTTCAATGATATATATATATAATTGTCGGGTCGGGTCGGGTCGGTGACGGGTCAATATCAGTAGAGAACCCAGTGCTCCCCATCTTTCTTAACCCTGAAGTTATGGAGGCGAGCGAAGATATGGACCGCCGTCCTGACACCAGGCCACACATAATCATGCCCGAACATCACCCCTCCGGGCTTCCTCAGCACCTTGTAGGCATTGTTGATGTCCACCCACGCCGAGTGGAAGTCGTGCGCCGCGTCGATCTCCACCAGGTCCCCGTAGACCCCCCACTCGCAGAGGCCCCCCAGCGCCGTCCCCGTCGAGAACGGCAGGAACACTATCCGGTCGGTCGCGTTGGCCCTCGCCACGTTGCTCATGAACTGGTAGAGCAGCATGCTGTCCCCGTTCACCATCCCCACCCTCCTCCTATTCTCCTCGTCCACGTACCCCGGCCACCCCCGGAAGTCGTCGATGCACACGATCTGCGTCTCCGGCGGGGCCAGCGCCGCCATGTGGGTCGCCGACGCCCCCAGGAATGTGCCCACCTCGATGATCGTCTTCGGCCGCACCTCGCCGATCAGCCGCTCGAACACCGCCGCCCGCGACCCCCACCCTTTGTTCCAGTTCTCGACTAGGAGCGCCGCCGCGTGCGGCGGCGGAAACCCTTCCCATGGCGACGCGCCTCCGAAGACTTTGTCCAGGATCGTCTGGCGGACGCGGTCCGGCGGCACCGCCGCCGCGCAGCGTTGGGGGAAGGTGTTGTGTGCGCTGGAGTCGTTGTTGTCGTTGTCGTTGTCGTTGTTATTATTATTGGTATTATTATTATTATTATTATTATTATTAAGGATTGGGAGAGGGTGTGGAGCAGAGTGGGAGTGAGAGATGTAGCCGAGGAAGAAGGAGGTGATGAGGAGAACGATGCAGTAGCAGAGGGGTCGGGAGAAGATGTCGATCACCGTCAGGCCTAGCCCGCCGCCGCCGTTGTAGCGGTGCTGCTTGTTGCGGCGGATCTGTGGCGGCGGCGGCGGCGGCACTTGGCGCTTCTCATCAGCTTCCAAGTTTTTGTTCATGTTTTGTTTTTTTTGGCTGTCTTCTCCTTCTCTACGTACCTTAGCGTGTGTGCTCATGTATATATAATAGGGCGTCCCTCTGTTTCAATTTATTTGATAGTTTTGTTTTGACACAGTGCCTACTTCCCATAACAAACTATTAATTTTTTCATTTTAATTCATTATATAATAAAATATTTATTTTTTTATTTAGTAATTGTATTATCTACTAATATTATAAATATTTTTACAACTTATAATATATTATAAAATGTCATTATCTTTATATCACACAATACTAATAAAGTTATTTTAATTATTTCTATTTTATGCAAAAAAAATAAATAAATAAATAAAAATACGAATACTTACTTAATTATGAGACAGAGAAAGTATGTATTTTAAAATAGTGTAACTTTAATCGTCCGATTTTTTCAATCGTGAAGTCATGTGTTGAAACTCCGATAACTCTAAGTCCACCTGCACAAGCTACTATGGATTTTGATGTTATAAAAAATAAAAAAAATCAAATATTTATATAAAAGGTCAAAAAGTGAAAGGTTTGTTTTCTTTCAACTTTTTTCTTGGCACATTTTTTTAAATATTAATATATCATATATTTTTCAAAAAATATTAATATATCATATATATTCATTATTTTTATATTATCTACATAATTTCTCATATTTCATATAAAAAAATTTATTCAAATTATCTTACAAAACAAATACATATTCCAAATATTCAATTTAAAATAATATATTTTATATTTTGACACAATTTTTTATACTCCACATAAAAAAAAATTAATTCATCTAGGCATTGGCAAACAAGCCAACATTTTTTCATTATTCTATCTTTATCTTTATATTTTTGGGCGAATTCGAGACAGTTCTGTAGAGCTCGAGATCGGCTTTGCTAAAAAAAATGTTAGACCTTATGCAATGATTTTCACCTAAAAAAATTTCTATTCCTTATTTGGTCATGGTCCCACTTTTTATTTTATTGACTCAAGTAATTTAAAAATAAAAAATACAGAATATTTGTTTCTTTATCTCACGTCTTGCCCATGGGATCACCTGTCCAAAAAATAAACTCTATCATTCTATCCCCACATACATAGTGTATGTATATACACATATGTGTGTGTATAAAGTACTTCCTCCGTCATCCAATTGTGTGCTCATTTGACTGGGCACGAGTCTTAAAAAAAATATGTAAGAATAAAACTTTTTATTTTTTTTACTAAAAAAAAAGAAACAAAAATAAATTTGGATGACAAAAAAAAATAAAAATAAATTTGAATGACGAAGAGAGTAATATTTTATACATATATACGTGTGTGTGTGTGTGTGTGTGTACACAATGTGTATATGAGTCAGTGAGACAAAATTTTGTTTAAGAAAGACGATGTCCTTCGCACGTCTTGAGGAGGCCTCAAATGTGACACATTGTGCATCCACATATTCACATCTCAAATTAAGGCATTTTATTTGTTTTTCTTATTTGGCTTATCACAAAAGCTTGGTTACATGGAAAGATCGATCATTCAAATGTCATTGCACATGCTCTTAGCGGCAAAGAGTGACAAATTAAAATTTACTTGTAGTATATATCGCGGTCAGAATTTAAATTCATAATCTTACATTTACAAATTCATTTCAATATTATCTTACTATCCCTTAAGGACACACGGTCAATTTTATTAATATAGACCCGTTGTTATTTTGTATTTTGAACATTTTGATTTTATATTTTTAATGTTTTATATAATGATTAATATTTCTATAAAACATAAAATTATTTACTTAGAATTAATAAAAAAAAAAAGTCATTAAAATCATAACATATTTCAAAATTTTAGTATTTAATCAAAATAAAAAGAAATTTGAAAGATAAATGAAAATATTTATTATGTTTTTGATTTTAGATTTTTTTATATTTTTATTTAAATAATAATTTCATATGATCTTTTATATATATAAAAAAACAACACTCTCTTCGCAACTTCTAAATATTTACATTTTTTTTTTCGTTTAATTCAAATGTTTATATATATATTTTTAGTAACTATAGATCCTATTATTATTTATTAATACTATTTTTTTACACTTATTTATCATTTTACGTTTATTTTATTATATACTTATATAAAGACAATGTGATATTTACATTATTATATATATAAACTATTATTAAAATACTAATATTTTTTAATTGATGTGTAAAAATAAATATAAATATTAGAGTTGAACCGAGCTAATATATCCTTATTAAAGAGTATGTGATTATAAAAATAAAAAAAAATAAAAAAAGATATTGCAAAATAAACAAAACCTAAAATTAAAAATTTGTATTAAGTGGGCCGTACATAGTACTAAAATATTAGTATATTATTTCAATTGCAATTATTATTTTTACTATTATCTCTTTCGCAGTTCAAAATAGTATTTTTATTATTTTCATTTGTTGTACTTCAACATATCTCATTTCCATTTTACAAAAAATAATCATACTTTAAAGTATCCCTTTTCACTTAATGTGATTTGTCTTATCGGGCTTAATTTGCAGGGTATTAGGTTTGGTCAAAGGAGCGCACTTTCGAATAGTGACAGCAAGTTCTGACGTAATAAAAAAATGTCCAAAATCCTTAAACACTTCCACTAACTAATAAAATTCTCTTATTTCTTACAAAACCCTAAATGACACTTTTGATTTAGGACGGAAGGAATATATGTTAATATTTATTTTTTATTATAGTAAAAAAAATCACATATTAATTTTTAAAATATTTTTAACTTTGACATGAATTACAAGTATATAATTACTCATATACACATAAAGTACACTGAAAAAACCCCGACGCCTCCAAATCTTATATTTTATACATGGTTCGCATAATATGACTTGCTTTTTCGAGCTTAGTTTACAGGGTATTTGGGTTCTACCGGGCTCACCCATAGCGCACTCGAAGAGTAGCAGTTACGGGTTCCAATGTCATTAAAAAAAAATTACACCGGACAGAAATATCAAAACTATCTTAAACACTTCCACTAACCAATAAAATACTACTCTTTCCGTCCCACATACCATGTCCACATTGTCCTGTCCCACATACCATGTCACTTTCCTTTTTTTTTGGAAAATGATTATACACTTTAATCTCATTTTAAATTTTTTAATTTTTTTTAAAAATTTAATTAAATAGTTATCTTAATCTTAATTTATAATTATTTATATTATAGGATAATTATTTTCACTAATACATTCTTAATTATCTACTAATTATACCCATTCTAAAATACCATGTCTACAGTGTAGCAGACACGGTACGTGAGACGGATGTAGTATTATTTTTTTAATATACGCAAAAGAGTACTTTGGTGTGGGATGAAGGGAGTAATATTAGGAAAATATATATAATTAAAATAAAAAGTTTGTTCACTTCGTATTTTAGGTGGAATAAATCATCATAAATATTATTTAAAAAATACAATTGTTGATGTATTTTTTCAACAAAAATAAAGTAAAATTCAAAGATATAGAAAATATCTTTAAACTTGATTAATTAGTGCCTGAGATTAGGAATCTCTAAACACTGTATGGAACAGACAATAAACTGGAAAATAAAATACTGAAATTTAAAGTGGTGATCCCCAAATCTGACTTTGCTTTGTTGAAGTTGATTGAAGATGCCTTGCCAAATGATGATCCAAATCCTTAAATATTCCCTGGGAAACCGTACTGAAAACCGTCACCCGAACGGTTACAACGTCTCCTTCTCAACCGTCTTCCAACCTTTCTCATGCTGACACGTGTCCCCAGCAGACCAAAATTCCCTATATTTCACTCCTTGAGCCGACCACAGACCTTCCGCTCTTTTGGCCCGACTTCGTCCTTCGTCCGACCTACTTCTTCGCCCGACCCCACTTGGGCCGACCTCCATATCAACCGCCCCCTGTCTTTGATCAAAGGCCTCCGCGTTTGTCCGACTCCTCCTTCTATCCGACCTACAGTTTACCCGACCTGCGGATATCCCATCTCGACGACTTTCCGTCTCGAGGACCTCCCGACTTGAAAACCTTCCGACTCATCGTCTTTCCGTCTTGCGGACCTCCCGACCTGAAGACCTTCCGACTTGAGGTCTTTCCGTCTTGCGGACCTCCCGACCTGAAGACCTTCCGACTTGAGGTCTTTCCGTCTTGCGGACCTTCCGACCTGAAGACCTTCCGACTTGAGGTCTTTCCATCTTGAGGGCCTCCCGACCTGAAGACCTTCCGACCTGAGGTCTTTCCGTCCTGAGGACCTACCGACCTAAGAACCTTCCATCCTGAGGTCTTTCCGTCCTGAGGACCTACCGACCTAAGAACCTTCCGTCCTGAGGTCTTTCCGTCCTGAGGACCTACCGACCTAAGAACCTTCCGTCCTGAGGTCTTTCCGTCCTGAGGACCTACCGACCTGAAGACCTTCCGACTTGAGGTCTTTCCGTCTTGCGGACCTTCCGACCTGAAGACCTTCCGACTTGAGGTCTTTCCGTCCTGAGGACCTACCGACCTAAGAACCTTCCGTCCTGAGGTCTTTCCGTCCTGAGGACCTACCGACTTGAAAACCTTCCGACCTGTATTTTCCTTAGAAATAAATAAATAAATTTATTTTCCTTGATTTCCTCACGGTGTCCTTCAGCCAGTTCAATCAACCCTATTGCCAGGCCCATTCTTCTTTTTACCTTGGGCTTTTAACCTAATTCTAAATTTCGTATAATTTGTTGATGTATTTTTTCAACAAAAATAAAGTAAAATTCAAAGATATAGAAAATATCTTTAAACTTGATTAATTAGTGCCTGAGATTAGGAATCTCTAAACACTGTATGGAACAGACAATAAACTGGAAAATAAAATACTGAAATTTAAAGTGGTGATCCCCAAATCTGACTTTGCTTTGTTGAAGTTGATTGAAGATGCCTTGCCAAATGATGATCCAAATCCTTAAATATTCTTTGAAGAAAACGTTCAGAACCGTCGCACTGTTTCACCAACCGTTCCCACCAGTTACAGAACTCAGAACTGCCTCTTTCATTGACACATGTCTTTAACCGCCTCGCCAACCGCATAACCCAACGACCGACCAACCGACCAATCTAGATACATAATTGGTCGCCAGATCAAAAGACTCACTGGTCGCCCCATCAAACGACCACTATTTGGTCTCTTCAATCGTCTGACCTATCAACAGACCTTTCTTCGCCCGACTTCCTTTTTCGACCGACCCCCATAGCAGCCAACCTTTGTATCAACCGACCCATTTATCCGACTGCGAATAATCCGACCTGCTTGCCCGACCGCGGACCATCTGACTTGCTTATCTGATTGAGAACCAACCGACTGAGAACCACCGACTGACTATGGATACCTTATTATTATTATTATTATTATTATTATTATTATTATTATTATTATTATTATTTTTTGTGCGTAACAACATGCCTCCTCCTCATGACTCCTAAGCATCATTTCTTATGATGTTTTAGGAGTTAGTAGGTTAGCATCCGAGGCTACGTCAGCCTCAGATCCAACCTCCATCCTTTGAGGCTACGTTGGACCCGACCTCCATTTATCGCGGACTGGTGCTGGCCTGGACGTTGGTCGATCTTGCACTACCATTGTATTCAGACTCCCGTCCGACTTATTCCTCCTTTCGGCCACTGTTGTTCTGTCATTCTTTTGCTCGCCTGAAAAGTTATGGTCGGCGACCTGACCCGTGTCCGTCCATTCGGCGGGGTCCTCCTGACCTGTATCCGTCCATTCGGCGGGGTCCTCCTGACCTGTATCCGTCCAGGTTACGTAGTCCTCCCGATTTTTGTCCGTCCAGTCGACGTGGTCTTCCCGATCTGTATTCGTCCAGTCGGCGTGGTCCCCCCGACCTTTGTCCATCCAGTTGGTGTGGTTGTCCCGACTACGGTCCGTCCATTCGGTGTGGTCCTCCCGACCATGGTCCGTCCAGTCGGTGTGGTCTTCCCGACCATGGTCCGTCCAGGCGTCGTGATCCTGCCGACCTGTCTCCGTCCATTCGGTCGTCCCTGGTCGGGCCTGTCCTCCTGTTTGGTCCTGTCTCCAGTCTGTCTGACTGGGTATATGCTCAGGAATGGCGTTGTCCGTTTGGGGGCATGACATTTCTGGCGGTGCAGGAACCGAATTCAACATGAATTTTGATTGCTCCATCAAGTTTTGCATTGCGTCATGTATTGCCTGCAGATTTGCTATCTGCTGGTCGTACATTTTCCGAAAACATGCTGTAAAACCTGCTGTCAATTCGGCCCGTAGTTGGGAAGCTTCTTCTGCCGTGATAAAGCCAACGGCTGTACTGTGGAATTGAAAATTTGCCATATGGATCAGCAATTTTCTCCCATTGTGGTCGCCAATTTGTTGATGTATTTTTTCAACAAAAATAAAGTAAAATTCAAAGATATAGAAAATATCTTTAAACTTGATTAATTAGTGCCTGAGATTAGGAATCTCTAAACACTGTATGGAACAGACAATAAACTGGAAAATAAAATACTGAAATTTAAAGTGGTGATCCCCAAATCTGACTTTGCTTTGTTGAAGTTGATTGAAGATGCCTTGCCAAATGATGATCCAAATCCTTAAATATTCCCTGGGAAACCGTACTGAAAACCGTCACCCGAACGGTTACAACGTCTCCTTCTCAACCGTCTTCCAACCTTTCTCATGCTGACACGTGTCCCCAGCAGACCAAAATTCCCTATATTTCACTCCTTGAGCCGACCACAGACCTTCCGCTCTTTTGGCCCGACTTCGTCCTTCGTCCGACCTACTTCTTCGCCCGACCCCACTTGGGCCGACCTCCATATCAACCGCCCCCTGTCTTTGATCAAAGGCCTCCGCGTTTGTCCGACTCCTCCTTCTATCCGACCTACAGTTTACCCGACCTGCGGATATCCCATCTCGACGACTTTCCGTCTCGAGGACCTCCCGACTTGAAAACCTTCCGACTCATCGTCTTTCCGTCTTGCGGACCTCCCGACCTGAAGACCTTCCGACTTGAGGTCTTTCCGTCTTGCGGACCTCCCGACCTGAAGACCTTCCGACTTGAGGTCTTTCCGTCCTGAGGACCTACCGACCTAAGAACCTTCCGTCCTGAGGTCTTTCCGTCCCGAGGACCTACCGACTTGAAAACCTTCCGACCTGTATTTTCCTTAGAAATAAATAAATAAATTTATTTTCCTTGATTTCCTCACGGTGTCCTTCAGCCAGTTCAATCAACCCTATTGCCAGGCCCATTCTTCTTTTTACCTTGGGCTTTTAACCTAATTCTAAATTTCGTATAATTTGTTGATGTATTTTTTCAACAAAAATAAAGTAAAATTCAAAGATATAGAAAATATCTTTAAACTTGATTAATTAGTGCCTGAGATTAGGAATCTCTAAACACTGTATGGAACAGACAATAAACTGGAAAATAAAATACTGAAATTTAAAGTGGTGATCCCCAAATCTGACTTTGCTTTGTTGAAGTTGATTGAAGATGCCTTGCCAAATGATGATCCAAATCCTTAAATATTCTTTGAAGAAAACGTTCAGAACCGTCGCACTGTTTCACCAACCGTTCCCACCAGTTACAGAACTCAGAACTGCCTCTTTCATTGACACATGTCTTTAACCGCCTCGCCAACCGCATAACCCAACGACCGACCAACCGACCAATCTAGATACATAATTGGTCGCCAGATCAAAAGACTCACTGGTCGCCCCATCAAACGACCACTATTTGGTCTCTTCAATCGTCTGACCTATCAACAGACCTTTCTTCGCCCGACTTCCTTTTTCGACCGACCCCCATAGCAGCCAACCTTTGTATCAACCGACCCATTTATCCGACTGCGAATAATCCGACCTGCTTGCCCGACCGCGGACCATCTGACTTGCTTATCTGATTGAGAACCAACCGACTGAGAACCCACCGACTGACTCTGGATACCTTATTATTATTATTATTATTATTATTATTATTATTATTTTTTTTTTTTTTTGTGCGTAACAACATGCCTCCTCCTCATGACTCCTAAGCATCATTTCTTATGATGTTTTAGGAGTTAGTAGGTTAGCATCCGAGGCTACGTCAGCCTCAGATCCAACCTCCATCCTTTGAGGCTACGTTGGACCCGACCTCCATTTATCGCGGACTGGTGCTGGCCTGGACGTTGGTCGATCTTGCACTACCATTGTATTCAGACTCCCGTCCGACTTATTCCTCCTTTCGGCCACTGTTGTTCTGTCATTCTTTTGCTCGCCTGAAAAGTTATGGTCGGCGACCTGACCCGTGTCCGTCCATTCGGCGGGGTCCTCCTGACCTGTATCCGTCCATTCGGCGGGGTCCTCCTGACCTGTATCCGTCCAGGTTACGTAGTCCTCCCGATTTTTGTCCGTCCAGTCGACGTGGTCTTCCCGATCTGTATTCGTCCAGTCGGCGTGGTCCCCCCGACCTTTGTCCATCCAGTTGGTGTGGTTGTCCCGACTACGGTCCGTCCATTCGGTGTGGTCCTCCCGACCATGGTCCGTCCAGTCGGTGTGGTCTTCCCGACCATGGTCCGTCCAGGCGTCGTGATCCTGCCGACCTGTCTCCGTCCATTCGGTCGTCCCTGGTCGGGCCTGTCCTCCTGTTTGGTCCTGTCTCCAGTCTGTCTGACTGGGTATATGCTCAGGAATGGCGTTGTCCGTTTGGGGGCATGACATTTCTGGCGGTGCAGGAACCGAATTCAACATGAATTTTGATTGCTCCATCAAGTTTTGCATTGCGTCATGTATTGCCTGCAGATTTGCTATCTGCTGGTCGTACATTTGCCGAAAACATGCTGTAAAACCTGCTGTCAATTCGGCCCGTAGTTGGGAAGCTTCTTCTGCCGTGATAAAGCCAACGGCTGTACTGTGGAATTGAAAATTTGCCATATGGATCAGCAATTTTCTCCCACTGTGGTCGCCAATTTGTTGATGTATTTTTTCAACAAAAATAAAGTAAAATTCAAAGATATAGAAAATATCTTTAAACTTGATTAATTAGTGCCTGAGATTAGGAATCTCTAAACACTGTATGGAACAGACAATAAACTGGAAAATAAAATACTGAAATTTAAAGTGGTGATCCCCAAATCTGACTTTGCTTTGTTGAAGTTGATTGAAGATGCCTTGCCAAATGATGATCCAAATCCTTAAATATTCCCTGGGAAACCGTACTGAAAACCGTCACCCGAACGGTTACAACGTCTCCTTCTCAACCGTCTTCCAACCTTTCTCATGCTGACACGTGTCCCCAGCAGACCAAAATTCCCTATATTTCACTCCTTGAGCCGACCACAGACCTTCCGCTCTTTTGGCCCGACTTCGTCCTTCGTCCGACCTACTTCTTCGCCCGACCCCACTTGGGCCGACCTCCATATCAACCGCCCCCTGTCTTTGATCAAAGGCCTCCGCGTTTGTCCGACTCCTCCTTCTATCCGACCTACAGTTTACCCGACCTGCGGATATCCCATCTCGACGACTTTCCGTCTCGAGGACCTCCCGACTTGAAAACCTTCCGACTCATCGTCTTTCCGTCTTGCGGACCTCCCGACCTGAAGACCTTCCGACTTGAGGTCTTTCCGTCTTGCGGACCTCCCGACCTGAAGACCTTCCGACTTGAGGTCTTTCCGTCTTGCGGACCTTCCGACCTGAAGACCTTCCGACTTGAGGTCTTTCCATCTTGAGGGCCTCCCGACCTGAAGACCTTCCGACCTGAGGTCTTTCCGTCCTTAGGACCTACCGACCTAAGAACCTTCCATCCTGAGGTCTTTCCGTCCTGAGGACCTACCGACCTAAGAACCTTCCGTCCTGAGGTCTTTCCGTCCTGAGGACCTACCGACCTAAGAACCTTCCGTCCTGAGGTCTTTCCGTCCTGAGGACCTACCGACCTGAAGACCTTCCGACTTGAGGTCTTTCCGTCTTGCGGACCTTCCGACCTGAAGACCTTCCGACTTGAGGTCTTTCCGTCCTGAGGACACCGACCTAAGAACCTTCCGTCCTGAGGTCTTTCCGTCCTGAGGACCTACCGACTTGAAAACCTTCCGACCTGTATTTTCCTTAGAAATAAATAAATAAATTTATTTTCCTTGATTTCCTCACGGTGTCCTTCAGCCAGTTCAATCAACCCTATTGCCAGGCCCATTCTTCTTTTTACCTTGGGCTTTTAACCTAATTCTAAATTTCGTATAATTTGTTGATGTATTTTTTCAACAAAAATAAAGTAAAATTCAAAGATATAGAAAATATCTTTAAACTTGATTAATTAGTGCCTGAGATTAGGAATCTCTAAACACTGTATGGAACAGACAATAAACTGGAAAATAAAATACTGAAATTTAAAGTGGTGATCCCGAAATCTGACTTTGCTTTGTTGAAGTTGATTGAAGATGCCTTGCCAAATGATGATCCAAATCCTTAAATATTCTTTGAAGAAAACGTTCAGAACCGTCGCACTGTTTCACCAACCGTTCCCACCAGTTACAGAACTCAGAACTGCCTCTTTCATTGACACATGTCTTTAACCGCCTCGCCAACCGCATAACCCAACGACCGACCAACCGACCAATCTAGATACATAATTGATCGCCAGATCAAAAGACTCACTGGTCGCCCCATCAAACGACCACTATTTGGTCTCTTCAATCGTCTGACCTATCAACAGACCTTTCTTCGCCCGACTTCCTTTTTCGACCGACCCCCATAGCAGCCAACCTTTGTATCAACCGACCCATTTATCCGACTGCGAATAATCCGACCTGCTTGCCCGACCGCGGACCATCTGACTTGCTTATCTGATTGAGAACCAACCGACTGAGAACCCACCGACTGACTCTGGATACCTTATTATTATTATTATTATTATTATTATTATTATTATTATTATTATTATTATTTTTTGTGCGTAACAACATGCCTCCTCCTCATGACTCCTAAGCATCATTTCTTATGATGTTTTAGGAGTTAGTAGGTTAGCATCCGAGGCTACGTCAGCCTCAGATCCAACCTCCATCCTTTGAGGCTACGTTGGACCCGACCTCCATTTATCGCGGACTGGTGCTGGCCTGGACGTTGGTCGATCTTGCACTACCATTGTATTCAGACTCCCGTCCGACTTATTCCTCCTTTCGGCCACTGTTGTTCTGTCATTCTTTTGCTCGCCTGAAAAGTTATGGTCGGCGACCTGACCCGTGTCCGTCCATTCGGCGGGGTCCTCCTGACCTGTATCCGTCCATTCGGCGGGGTCCTCCTGACCTGTATCCGTCCAGGTTACGTAGTCCTCCCGATTTTTGTCCGTCCAGTCGACGTGGTCTTCCCGATCTGTATTCGTCCAGTCGGCGTGGTCCCCCCGACCTTTGTCCATCTAGTTGGTGTGGTTGTCCCGACTACGGTCCGTCCATTCGGTGTGGTCCTCCCGACCATGGTCCGTCCAGTCGGTGTGGTCTTCCCGACCATGGTCCGTCCAGGCGTCGTGATCCTGCCGACCTGTCTCCGTCCATTCGGTCGTCCCTGGTCGGGCCTGTCCTCCTGTTTGGTCCTGTCTCCAGTCTGTCTGACTGGGTATATGCTCAGGAATGGCGTTGTCCGTTTGGGGGCATGACATTTCTGGCGGTGCAGGAACCGAATTCAACATGAATTTTGATTGCTCCATCAAGTTTTGCATTGCGTCATGTATTGCCTGCAGATTTGCTATCTGCTGGTCGTACATTTTCCGAAAACATGCTGTAAAACCTGCTGTCAATTCGGCCCGTAGTTGGGAAGCTTCTTCTGCCGTGATAAAGCCAACGGCTGTACTGTGGAATTGAAAATTTGCCATATGGATCAGCAATTTTCTCCCACTGTGGTCGCCAATTTGTTGATGTATTTTTTCAACAAAAATAAAGTAAAATTCAAAGATATAGAAAATATCTTTAAACTTGATTAATTAGTGCCTGAGATTAGGAATCTCTAAACACTGTATGGAACAGACAATAAACTGGAAAATAAAATACTGAAATTTAAAGTGGTGATCCCCAAATCTGACTTTGCTTTGTTGAAGTTGATTGAAGATGCCTTGCCAAATGATGATCCAAATCCTTAAATATTCCCTGGGAAACCGTACTGAAAACCGTCACCCGAACGGTTACAACGTCTCCTTCTCAACCGTCTTCCAACCTTTCTCATGCTGACACGTGTCCCCAGCAGACCAAAATTCCCTATATTTCACTCCTTGAGCCGACCACAGACCTTCCGCTCTTTTGGCCCGACTTCGTCCTTCGTCCGACCTACTTCTTCGCCCGACCCCACTTGGGCCGACCTCCATATCAACCGCCCCCTGTCTTTGATCAAAGGCCTCCGCGTTTGTCCGACTCCTCCTTCTATCCGACCTACAGTTTACCCGACCTGCGGATATCCCATCTCGACGACTTTCCGTCTCGAGGACCTCCCGACTTGAAAACCTTCCGACTCATCGTCTTTCCGTCTTGCGGACCTCCCGACCTGAAGACCTTCCGACTTGAGGTCTTTCCGTCTTGCGGACCTCCCGACCTGAAGACCTTCCGACTTGAGGTCTTTCCGTCTTGCGGACCTTCCGACCTGAAGACCTTCCGACTTGAGGTCTTTCCATCTTGAGGGCCTCCCGACCTGAAGACCTTCCGACCTGAGGTCTTTCCGTCCTTAGGACCTACCGACCTAAGAACCTTCCATCCTGAGGTCTTTCCGTCCTGAGGACCTACCGACCTAAGAACCTTCCGTCCTGAGGTCTTTCCGTCCTGAGGACCTACCGACCTAAGAACCTTCCGTCCTGAGGTCTTTCCGTCCTGAGGACCTACCGACCTGAAGACCTTCCGACTTGAGGTCTTTCCGTCTTGCGGACCTTCCGACCTGAAGACCTTCCGACTTGAGGTCTTTCCGTCCTGAGGACCTACCGACCTAAGAACCTTCCGTCCTGAGGTCTTTCCGTCCTGAGGACCTACCGACTTGAAAACCTTCCGACCTGTATTTTCCTTAGAAATAAATAAATAAATTTATTTTCCTTGATTTCCTCACGGTGTCCTTCAGCCAGTTCAATCAACCCTATTGCCAGGCCCATTCTTCTTTTTACCTTGGGCTTTTAACCTAATTCTAAATTTCGTACGTAACAACAATATATATTAGCATAATATATATCATATATTTTTACTAATATATTTTTAATTATTTATGAATTATACTTTTTTTTTAAAATTTTTGTATCTACAATAAAATAGCAGAAACTATAGTCGGGACGAAGGAGTATATATTTACTAAAAATAATGAGTAATATTATATGTGTATTTTGTAAAATGTAGCCAAATCAACTATATCTTATAATTAATTAATATTGTGTTTCATTTCGTGTAGGTGAAGAAAAGTTAGAAATTTTTGGGCCTAAAAAACGGGGGGAAGAAGGCCATGCCAAATGGACCATCGTTCTATATGATATCGACACACCCTAACCCTAGTCCAAGTTGTTACTTACGTTGCAAGGATTGTACATCATTTCATTTCGACAGTAATGTTTGTTGATTTATTTATCTATTTTATACGTATTTATATTTTGAATTATATAATATTTTATATAAATATTGTGTGTTGGTTTGAATTTCAAATTTAAAGTAATATTATTTATTATATATATATTTTTAATAGAAAATATACTATTTTCGGTCTACTCTAAGAGATATAATTATTTTTTGCTTGTTGAATTTTTAATATTAATTATTATATCAAAATATAGTACAAATAAAGAGAAAATGACAAAAATAGTTTTAGGAATGTCTTAAAATGTTAATATAATTATATTTGTATAAAAAATTAATATTAAATACAATGACGCAAAACATAAATATAACCTTAGAGACGGACGGAGGAAATATATAATTTCTCTTATAAAATATTGTATCAAAATATACTATTTAAGTTAAAACCTTCTCTTATTTTAATTATGGATGTTAAATGGGGCGGGTTAGCCCCGGACCCGCTCTTAATGGGCGGGTTTGAGTCTAAATAATATGTTTCAGGGCGGGTTGTGAATTTAAAATTTTAAACCCGGACGGGTTCGGAGCGGGTTACGGATTTTACTAAAAATCCGTCCCAACCCGAACCCGAACCCAAATATCTTTTAAAATTATTATAACTAATATATATGTACATTTATATAATAAAAATATATTATTTATTTATTTAAATATAAAATTCAATTAGTCGTCCGCCCCAAGTAATTTTTTAAAATTATTATACATAATATATGTATATTTATATAATAAAAATATATTACTTATTTATTTTTATCTTATTTTTATGGATCAATATTTGATTGTTTTTAGATTTTTTTTGTGCTTTTAATGCTATTTGTTTTAGTATTCGATTGTTAAAAAAATATTTATTATTATATATTTAAAAAAAAAAACGGATTTGCCGAGTTGACCCCGAACTCGGAGGGTTCAGGGCGGGGCGGGACAGGTCTCGAGGCTTAATATTTTCTAGCGAGCCGGATCTCGGGGCCTGCAGAACCCGTCTCGAACCCGCCGCGTTGACATCCCTAATTTTAATAGTACTATATAGATATAATAATGTAAAGACTAAATTGCTTTTATTTCTAAATATAGGTGTATAATAAAATGAAGGAAAAATAATAAATAAACGTAAATACATTATTAGTAGTTAGCGGTAGTGTCTACAACTACTAAAATACAAATGTAAAACGATGAATTAGAATTACGAAAATAGAAATATATAAACGTTAGAAGTGAACAAAGGAAATACTAAAAATGTTGAAAAAACATAATATTCCCCTGTCCAATTTGAAGATATATATTTACTTTTAGTTTGTAGTTTAAGAAATAATAGTATTTTTATTGATGTGATGTTAAAGTAAAAATATTTTTTAGAAAAAAACTATTTTTAAATAATTACGTTGTAATTGGATAACTTAAAAATAAATATTTATACTTTGTGAATAAAATATAATATAATATATGTATATTTAGATTTTTCTAAAGTTTTAAATTTACGATTGAGATTTAAAAATAATAAATTTTTAAACAAAATTGAGCTTTGTTTTTCTTTTTTTTTTTTATAGGGTATTTAATTATATATGTTTTACTGTATAATTTTTAATAAAAAATATATATATATATTATTTTTTTCACAAATTTCGTATTAAAATCTATTTAAGTACAGTAAACTAATCAAATCAAAATAAAATCCAACAAATTTTCCATGGATTTGTTTGGTTTATGTTTTGATTTGAAACAGAAAACATACAACATCGGTAATACTACCTCCGTCAGGCTCTAAGGTCCCATTTAGTTTTTGCGTGTTAATCTTAAAATATTAATTATTGTATGAAAATGTAGTACAACTTAAGAGAATATAGGAAAAATATTTATATTAGTATTTTATAATACTATTATGATGACATTTGTGCAAAAAAAATATATATATAAATATAAGGATATTTTTAATGTTAAATACAACCACGTAAAAATTAAATGAAACCCTTAGAGTCGAACGGAAGGAATATTAAATTTGATTTTAAATTGAAATCAAACATATCATTTGTATTTTATGTGATATTTAGAATAAACATTAAATTTTTTCGCTTATATTTTTTTTTTTTTTCGTTCTAATTCAATTTAGAATAAGGAAAGTGGGCATTTCTCTTTTTATGATATAAGGAATATAATTTTATTTCTGTATATTTGTATCAATATAATATTTTATCATAAATAATTTTATTTATATTTAATTTAAATTATATTATTATAAAAATATATCATATGTTATTTTATTTTTACTCCACACATAAATACTTACTATATACTCATTCCGTACAAAAATACTTATTTGAGTTTTGTAGTAGATTCAAACTAATATTACATCTGTTTTATAATAACGTATTCATTCATTTTTTGTGTCATTGTATTTAACTTAAAAAATATTTTATATTTTGTATAACATAATAGATGTTTTTTGTTTTTTTTTTTGTACTTCGTATTAATATTCAAAGATCTCTAAGTAAAAAAATAAAATGAATATCTTATTATGGGAATGATGTAGTATTTTACTCCATCTGGTCATCAAATTTACATTCACTCTCTGTTTTAGTATTTTCGCTAAATTTATAGCATTACTAGTTTTGACAAAGTCAACAAATCTAACATTTAATTATTATCCTCAATTTAATACTTATTTACAACAAATATCACTGTTTTTCTTGCACTATCTTCTCAAGAGGAGTATTAATTAGTAAAGATATATAGGATGAATTTAATGTTTATCCTTTATACTTTTTTTTTTTTCATTTATACTTTTTTTTTTCGTTTATACTTTATGTACATGTGTAATGGTTTAATATAATTTATACAAAAAAAAATAAGAATATTTTGATATTGGTGTAGTTATTTTTACTATAATAAAAAAAAATAAGTACTTTTAAGTTAGACAAACAAAAATAATAATAAAAAAAATGCTTTCAATTAGGACATAAAAACTATATATTATATCAATTTATTGTTATCGTATCACATTCTTCGCCTTTTTTATAAATAGTTGTTAAAAAAACTCAAACCACGAATACTTCTTCCGTCCCGACACATGTGACTCATTTTTCTTTCTTGTCTGTCTCAACGGATGATCCATTACTACCCGGTATTTCTTTTAAGACTAATCCAAATTTATTTATATATTAATAGTGGAAAGCTGTGCTAGCACGATCCAAGAGATAAATTAATTGTTTTGTTAAATCTTTTGCGTAAGGCATCTTATTAAATATGCAATTAAGAAATATTTGTAAGGTTGTTAAATTGTAGAAATTAATTGTTGTTCTGAACTTAATAAATATATAAATATTATTTATTTTAATGTTCAAAAACTTTTATATAATATATTTATAATAAAATTATTATAAATTAAAATAACAAATTAAAGTAAGAATGTAATAAATTTAAATTGGAGGCTTTAGATAGGAGGGCAAATCACAATATATAATTATTTATAATAACAAATTACACTTAATAAAAATATATTTTTCAAAGTTTGAGGGTCAATTGAAAATTAATATTATAATACCTTAGAGCTCTATTTGAAAAGTAAAAATAATTATTAGAATATCAAAAGGATATGAGAACTTATGTTGATATAGTCTCATGAACATACAATAAAGTATTACTTCATCCGTCCTATAATAAAGTATTCATTTTTCTATTTTGATCTGTCTCATAACAAAGTATCTATTTTTCTTTTAGTAAATGTATTATCTATCTAATATTACAAATACTCTTACAACTTTCAATATATTACACAACTACCATTACTTTTATATAACACAATACTAATAAGGTCATTTTAGTCATTTCTATTTTATTCCTACTACATCCCAATATAATACTGATATTTTTAAAATTCCATACAAAAAACAAATGGATATATAGTTATGAGACGGATGAAGTAGATATATTAGGTTAAAAAAAAACACTTTTCAAATAGCGTACGTACTCTTTTGCTCGAAACTCAATATCAACCTTGGAAGAACAAGAAAGTATTGTCTTAAGTTTGTAAAAAATTTTAATTGTATTGTTGTCTATGTATAATTATAAGTAGGGCCGGTGAATTATCTCTCCAAATCCGGTATCAAATCCTCTATTCTCATTTTTTTCTATTTCCCCTATTTCAATCAATAAAATATTGTCACATAATGAATGAGAGAATGTTAATACCATTTATGTATTTTTTATTATTATTATTTTATTTTCTTGCTAGTTTGTTTAAAAATAAAATAAAATAAATATTGTAACTTAATTTTTATTTATTATTTTTTATATCAATTTTATTAAATTGTTTTTTTTTTTAATTTTTTTTCAAAGTATCACATTTAAAAACTGTATATTTAGACTCAATTTCTACATAATATTTGAAGTATTTATTTGAATTTAATATTTATTTTATTTTGAGTATAATATTTTATATTCAAATAATAATTTTACAAATTCATAAAGTAATAAAATTAAAAAATAATATAAATTAAATTAAATTTTAATATATATTTCATATATATTTTAGAAGAAAAAATTAAATAAATAATAAAAATATAATAAAATAGAAATATGGAAATCATAATATTTTGATTATTTTTTATAAAATATTACTCTCTCCAAAACTATAGTATGTGGTAAAAAGTTCGGGTAAAACTTTTGCCTTTGTAGTGTATTAGCGTAAAAAATAGTAACAATTATGTAATAATAATAAAATAATAAAATTTTTTTTATAGTGATATAGTTATTTATGAAAATGAGATAGAAAGAAAAATTGGTAAATACGACTATTGTATTGAGACAGTATATTACATTAATATATTATAAAATTTGAATTTATATAATATATAAAAAATTAAATTTAAATTACTTGTATAATATTTCATCATAAAATTGTTTAAACAATATTTGAACAATATATCTTAAAGATAATAGTACTAATATATTTTTTAAAATAATATAATATAACAAAAATTAAGATAACTAAATTGCTGAATAAAACTTAATTTAAAATATTTTTTTGGAAAAAAAGATGTAAATCAATAAATAATAGAGTTATGAAGAAGTTAAAAAGTATATAAATAGTATTAACATTCTCTCTAATTCATTACCATGGTTTAACTGCATTAAAATAATAATTAGAATTGAATGAATATCAAATTCTGGTAATTCCTGAGAGAGGCCATTGCTAGAGCATGCACAAGTACCTGACATCACTACAACCAACCTTCCTTCCTTACTTCCTTCTACACTGACCGATGAAATACATACATACATTACATGTGCGACGTTTGTGTGTGTGTCTGTGGAAGAGGACGATACCTAATCAATAGAATGAAATTTCATCTTCATCTTCATCTTCCTCTTCATCCTCATAATCTTTGGACCTGATCAGCTGCTGCCGCATGGTTGCTGGCAGCCGACGAAGAACTGGGGGGGCGCCCACCATTTAAGAGGAGCCCATTGTCGCCTGGAGCCAAGATTCCCCACTTGCCTTCGGACTCTGCGGGTTCTATAACTTTAATGCCTCCATCCGTCAATCCAACAGCAAACTGGTTGGGCTCCTGTGGATGCGCCGCAACCACAACCGGGTATACGCATGGGTTTCTGGCACCACCACCACCACCACCACAACCATTACTTGAATCAATAACACAAATAAATGTAAACTATTTGCATTAAGCAAAACATTATTTAACAACTTCAATCTTATACTCTCTCTCCATCAAATATGTCTGTTTTCCTTATTTGTTTGTCAACAAAATATACACTTCCCATTTACAGCAAATATCTAACACACTTCTTAATTTAATTGTACACTTATTTACAAATATAACATCGCTACTTATAAACTCAATTTATCAAAAAATTTCTTTCACCTCATAAACAAAAGATGTTCTTACTTTATATCATAATCAACCAATATAATAATATATTCATTAAAACTTATATCTAGCTCAAACATGCACAGATTTCATGGACGGATGGAGTATTATTTGTTTCTTTCTAAAATTATCTATATATTATTCTATTTGCAACTATAGAAGGATCGAGTTACTATAAAAATAATTTATCCCCCAACTTGGAAGTCAACAATGTAACTGTAAAGGACAATATACTGAGGAGTTTAGAAGCATAAATGTAGAGTTCTTACCCAGTTAATGCAGCTTGAGACATATATGCAGATGGGGCAACACGGCATCTTAATCTGAGGGTATCGGCGTCAAAGATTCCAACATTACCATCGCAGAATGAAGCAAAAACAAGTTGACTGTTGCACGAGTATGTTGCACATGATATAGGTGCAGAAAGGGCATTTTGTGGGACCCACTGCGACAGAAAATTAATTAGCATAACGAACAGCAGCAATGAGACAAATAAGTTAGCAATGTTGTTTACCTGATGAATGCGTTCCATCTTGGCGACATCATATATTGCTATCTGTGTTTTATGGGATACAAGGAGGCGAACTTGATCTGAATGAAACTGGACTCGGGTGTCCCCAGTGGAAGCTTTTCCAGCAGGCATTTGAATGGAAACTGATTTTCTCCTCTCCCACGTGTCAATGTTCCATATGCAAAGCTGCAAACGAAGCCATTTTTTCAAGACAGATAATAACTAATCCGATCTCATAACAGAAATTTTTAATGCTTTGACTTATTTGGTAATGTAGAAGATCATTACCGCCTGACAAGAAAACTTACTTGAGCATCAGCACCTGATGACACCAATACGTTGAGGTTTGTAGAAAAGGCTAATCCAGTAATACGCTTTTGGTGACCTTTCAGTTTCGATTTCACCTATTGAGTGGTAGAGTAAAAGATTGTGTTTGCCACATTAAACTTTGTAATAGAACACTATTTATTAAGTGTTGTACAACTATAAATATCAAAAAAAAAATATATATATATATATATATAACCCTGATTGTACGCATAACTTAGAACTAAATAACATAGGTGAAGAGAACAATATCATATCTAATAACTATCGAAATAAACTGGTGCATGTACACTTCCACAAATAAGAAAACAGACCAAAACATGTTGGAAAAGGGTGAGACTGGTTACCTCGTCCACCCTAACATTGTATATGTGGATGGTCGAGTCCTCCATTCCAATTGCTATAATGTTGTTATCTTGTGGATGAAACGCCAAGAAAGTGGAAGCTGGTGGTGGTGACATAAATGTTGTCATCACCTGGAAACAGATATAGAAGTTTAAACTCGCGTCCTGTCAATAAAAACAAGTACACTGAAAATGAAAGCAGGCATGACAAGTTGCCTCAAACCTTGAAAGTCGTCATATTGAATAATGAAACCTTCCCACCAGCAGCCGACATCACATATGAGTCATTCTTTGAGAGAGCAATGCATGGAACAACTTCCTCCAGGAGGACGCCTGTGACATCATTATTCATAAGAAGACCACTGTTTGGCTTCCAATGTTGTGGAGTGATGCTAGCAGTGGCCTTTATTAAATAAATAGTTTCAGATATAACTGTGTTGGATAATCATCGGTCATCGAGAACAATAAGATATAATGGTAAAACGTAGAGCACTGAAATGCTAATGTTGTCCAACTTCCACTACCTTTCCACTTGGGTTTTGGTCATTGCGTGCCCACTTCCAAAGCCTCTGTGTACCATTTGATGCAAGCGCCAAAATGCCAATACCAGAATTTGTATAAAGAAGACGAGCAACCTAGGCAGTAGGCACAGACAAATATATAAGAATCATATAAAGAAAAATGACAATTACAAGAATTGGTCTAATTATCTGGCTTACCTTGTTAGTACCATCAGTGCTTTCAGGCATGGTTACCATTCGGCACTGAGTGGGATCAACTATTTCAGTCAACTGACAAGGTTTTATTTTGTCAACATCATCCAATGCCCTCGCTTTTTCCATGCTTCTAGACATGGAATCTATGCTGTTCTGAACAAAAACAGGCCAAAATAGCAAATCTCATTAAGGAAGACAAAAGTAACATAACTGAAACAAATTTTATAACCTTCTTTAGCTAGACAAAACTTGCCAATTATTATAGCATTATTTCACATTTAAATCAGAAAACAGAAGAAAATGAGTTGGAAATAGGAGGGATGCAATTGGATAGTATCTCAGTTCACTATAAAGGAAGAAACATTTACTTTTTTGACAGTATAACTATGTAGTTAATGCAAGTAACATTCAAGGTAACCAAAGAAGAGAGGAACACCTGACGTACAAGTATCGGAGAAGGCCTAACAGGAGAGCTCCTTTCTACTTTACAACTTACAGGAGCAATATTTGCAACAGAGGATGCAGAAGCCTGCTCAAAGAAAGTGAAGGATAAATTATCATGTACTATGATAGTCATTCAGCCTAGTGAGCCTAAAGAAAATAGGTAAGGAAAAATACAGATATGTTTAGATATGTTTTTGAGTTTAGTGTCATGAAAAATAGTAAAAGTAGGATAATAAATAAGTATTTCATATTGCTGTACATAGATGTTAGATGTGATGTTTTGTAAATGTATATAAAAAATATATATTTTTGATGTATTATTTTAAATGAAAAATATGTATTAGATGTATATATCTTTAGAAAGAAACAAAATTGAAGACATATCTAAACAAAACCAACCTTTGCAGGTACTTCCAAGGGGGATCTTAATGCTTCAAAAGGTGTGGCATCAGCAGCCCGTAAGGATCTCATGCCATTGGAATTTGCTAATATTTTTATTCCATTATCAGCGGTAGTAACAGCTAGTAGATTCCCTTCCTTATTAAATCTCAGGCGTGGAAGATTCTGCATCAAAAATATCCAAAATTTAAGTTACAGATTCGATATACAAGTTCGAAACTGATACCGAAATATTACGCAATCAGCTTGATGTTAATGAGATGAAGATCTCACCGCTAGACCACCATCTGCATCTGTTGTTGCAAGTATGTTGATGTTATCCATGTCCCAAAACTTAATTTGGTTATCTTCACCCACAGCCAGAAAATGATTTTGGGTGGTGTCAAATTGAACAACACCAGTCGACTTCTTCCTAAATCCAGTATAAGTTCTCTTTATCGCGCCTTCACTTTCATTCCATTCAACCAAAAAGGAATCCCCATCCTTGCCTGTTCCACAAGAGAACAACCTAAGGACAAAACTCACTTACAGAAGTCAGATTGTTTACAAATACAGGCAATGAAAGTTAACTAGATGATAAATGGTAATTTAAATAATGTGATATGTAGGATATCTAACCTGCTCCCATCTGCACTATATAGCATAGTAGTGCACCAGTGACCAGGAGCATCATAGTCAACTCTTGATCCCACATTATCATAGAGCCAGGCTTTGATTTTCCCATCAACAGCAGTTGAGAAAAGAAACTGCAAGCACAAGATGAGAAACAAATAGAATTCAACACTAGAGAATGGAATCTTATTTCAAACTATGAACAATAACAGAAAAGATTATGGTGATATGTGAGCAGTCAACAATAAACTTCTACTGAATCAAGATCAAGGAGAACCCATGCACATCCTATTATATCCAAATCAAACAAGAAGCAAATTCACAGAAAAAGGTTGCCAATTGCAATTGACTAAATCATCAAAATATATTCATGGTATATATCAAGTAAACAGATACAAAGCCTTTTCTAGAAGTTCAAATTTATAACAAGGACTTGATTATAGACAAAACAGTGAAGAACTTTAGATCCAACACTGCTAGGGAAGTCCAAGTTACCTGAATGTTCTCTTTTTGATGCGGACAAATTGAATACACTGGTGCTTCATGACCTTCAAAGTTGAACAGTTTTCTTCCATTCAAATCCCACACCTGTCAAATTATTCACTCAGTTTTCATGGCTACTAGCTAGTTTAAAATATATTTCAGAAAAGTATACAGAAACTTCTCCACTCACCTTTATCAACTTGTCATCCCCACAGGTCACAACACACAGTTGTTTATTTGGATGTGCGAAAGCAATATCATTAACTCCTCCCGCATGAGCATCAATCTGCAATAAAATCAGAAAATTAGATATCTTCAATATATTTTTCGCCTTGATATCTAAGGGCACACCCACAACAGACCTCCAGATGGGACCGTAGATCATTTGGTCCAGTATATGCATACAAATGGATCAGATGCTTGGAAAATGCAGCTCCTACAAAACAAGAAATACTTGTTCATATAGGAGAGTACAAATTAATTTGAGCATCTAAAGACAATATTTTACCACAAAAGGTTCCGTCAGGGCTCCAGGTAACTCGGGTCACCGAAAAGGGGGCATCCTTGGTAGCAGAAGCCTACACAAAAGTTCAGTAAGGAGATAGCAGAACATATGAAGACAAACTCTAAAGTTCATGCCAACTTAAAATTATTTCACCTTAGCAAATAGATATGCATCATATCTCACCACAGTAATCCTTAAAGTAACCAAAAAAGCATAATTGATGTTTGCAGATTGATTAGTAATTTCCAGAATCATAAAACATCAACTTGGAAGAAGATAGATGAACCTGGAACGATAGTGTACAAGCTTGGATTTCCCAAATCTTAAAAGGCTTCGTACACAACTTCTCTCTTATTCCAGCTTCCCAGAGAGTAATGTCACCATTATTACAACCCACTGTTTGATACACCAGATTAAACAATAAAAAATAGCAGTACTAATGAAGTTGATTTTTCGTTCAAGTATAACCAGTAACACAGCAGTTATTTATCAAATTTTAAGACCTAATGGATTCCCAGAAGCACAATACCAAGAAGTAGTGTATGGTGTGACGGATGAAAGTCCAAGCTCATCACAGATGATCCCTGATGCAATGTAAACGCAACATTTCTAGGCAAGTCATCGATGGACCAAGATGCCTGTTGACGAACAGTAGGATATGTAACCTGAACGTTATTTAAACCAAAAGGAGGATAAAATATAAAAATATTAATGTTATGTTACAGGAAAATGTCTTATTTTGTTAAGATTGGCAATATAACCAAAATAGAAATATTACCTCTTCAACTGATTGTGAAGGCCGCAACCGTTTCATCAGTTGCTCATGCTCAGCATTTGGATACTCCATCATACCCAGAGTCGCAGGGGCGGAACGCTTCAATATTGAAACTGTTTGAAATGTCAAAAATTGAAGTAATTACAATAAGATAACTTCAATATGATCATTTTGATCATCATTCATCGCCATGCCTATATAACTTATATAAAGTTATAAATTTCATTAGTATTGCAGCAAAATTTGGCATCTTAAATTCTGGGACTTAGAAACAGCTGAAACTCACCTTGATTGGAAGCAGCAGGTAATGATGAGGCAGTAACAACAGCTGCTTGAATGGATGAAGATGCAGCAGCATTTGCCATCCAACCAGCTAAAGTATTTGCATTAGCTACTGCTGCTGCTGCTGCTGCAGTAGGGGGGAAGGGCTGCGAGCAATGAATAGAAGAAGTTCATTATGAAGCCTATATATTATCCAAGCAAATATATTGATGATAAATATAAAATAAGGATAATGAGAAACAAGATAACAAGCGGATAATAATACCCCATGTGCTCCAAGTGATGTGTACGGAGCAGGCTTTGCTACTGCAGCTGGAGTAAGATTGACGGGAGTAGGAGCAAGAGCTCCATTTGGTGGAGTACATGTATGGTCAGTAAATAAGGTTTTTATGTCTGGGTTTGGCCGAGGATTCTTACAGAGCTGGTGCTGCCAATTCAAACTATATGTGTCTTAAGTCAGGATTCAAAATGTGGCACAAAGATTAGTATACAGCATAATATATTTCCTAAAACGAATAAGTGTTTAAAAAGGTAATAGAGCACATTAAATAAGTGTGCCGCAGTCTCAGAACTAATTATACCTTTGGTTAATGAGGGTTCTTAATCTAGATGACTTCAATGTAGGAAAAACAAGCTTTTCACGGAATAAAGGATTTGCTTCGATCAACTTCTTGAGTTCTAGCAACATTATACTTCGAGCTGTCTTAGTGTCACCATATTTGGAAAGCTGCTCATTTTCCCTGCGATTGAGAAATATAAGTAAGTTCTGATACATGGCCCAAAATTTTACATGTTTCCACAGAAATATATGGTACTGCCTTGGAACATGGAAAGAGTATACAATTAACAATGGTAAACATTCGTTTGAGAATGCATTCCAATCTATATTTCAATACCTTTTAATCTTCCACCCAGTCAATCAGACAATTTTAAGAGAGAAATAGGCACTGACCAATGCCGTTTTGATTTCAATCCCCATATAAAGACGATTGCGTGTGAATTTCATGTAAAGGTGACACATGCAATGCTGATGTCAATGTCAAAAAAAAAGTAATAGAAGCAACTTTTCACATTTATAATAAAAAAGTTACTCCCTCCGTCATGTATTATGGGTCTATTACTGTAGATACGGAAATTTAGGTAAAGTATGATTAGTAAGTAATTAAGAAGTGTATTAGTAAAAATAATTATAGTATAATAAAAATAATTGTGGATTAAGATTAAGATAACTAAATAATTTAATTAAGATTAAAAAAATTATAAAATTTAAAATTTAAAATGAGATTAAAGTGTATAATTATATTTCCAAAAGAGGAATTGACAAATTATGTGGGACGGACGAAAATAGAAAATAGGGACAAATTATGTGGGACGGAGGGAGTAAAAATCGAATATAAGGCATCTCCTTCTACAAGTCAACGTAACATATTGACTACTTCCATGCATCACTCAAAGATATGTAATCAAATGACATGATGGCATGACTTAAAGGACAAGTAACCCACACAGGCTTGATTTCCTAAATGCTGATTCCCTATTCACCACCAACAGTTTTAGAGCCTAAATTTCTTTATCCATCATCAATGATATTATTATGGATCCACAATTATTTCGAGTGCTCAGTCAAATATGTATTATGTTTCATAATCAGTAACTGAAAAAACTTGGGGTTGGTTTGTTGTTTACTTGAAATTGGAGTGGTGATTTGAGTTTTGGTTTAAAGAGTATTTTGATGTGATATTTTGTAAGAAAAAATAGTGTATTTTTCTTGAAATTCGTGCAAAATGAATAGTGAAATTTTTTTATTTGAAATATATGAAAAATAAAATAAAATAAAACGCACACACACACCCTTGAACATTTCTTAAAGATACTATGAAAACTCTCTCAATAACTTGACAAATTTATGGATTTTCAAAGGAAAAAGGTAGTCATGAATATCTTTCAAAAAGGACAGCCTTTGTTTCATCAAAGAAACAACCATGAATAATAAATGCACATTGTACCAGAGAAAAGGGAATGATCACTACCTGAAATTCCTAAGTGTAAGAAGCTGAGTAATTTCCTTGTATAGATCTTCATTAAACGTCGAAAACACTTTCAAATCATTAACCAGAATATCAACTGCCTTTGCTTTGTCTTGCCTGATGAAACCATCAAACATTATTAGACAAAGGTTATTAAAACAAAAAGGAAAAGAAAAGGCCAGAGTACAGATGAATCATGAGAGAGGCAGGGAAGCAGAGGAAATCAATTTAAGACTCAATAATTGCATTACCGAATGCATTGGAAAACTGAAGCAGAAGTCAGATTTCACATTACCGATCAAGAGCTTCAAGATACTTCTGCTTTCTTATTTCAAAATATATCTTCATAGAGTATCTATTGTCATCAACTTTTGTAAAACCCGACAAGTACTTCTCAACTTCATCCCATTCACCGGCATGCACTTTCTCCTCGAAGATTTTCATATTAAAGAAAAAGCCTGATTCCTGCTCAAGCCTACAACAAGAAAAGCCAATTATCATCAATAAGGCCACGGCATGCTCTGGAAGGAAAGTATTTCAGCAACATCATGGAGAACATTCCATTAAATAGAAGTGAAGGTCATTCATGGCACTCGAAACTCTTGCTAAAAAGGCAACTCACTACCTACTAAACTGCATATAACACTGTAGCAAGCAAGGCCGCATCTAATCTCTACTTCATGATACAGAATTCTTCATTTCTCCTCCTAGAAAGCGATATCCGTATGAAAATTTAACTCAGTTTACCATTCCCAAATCCCATTTAAATGGAAGATTTAACAAATAACTATAAACCCACCCATTTCACTAACTCACCTTCGAAGGGAAAGGTCGCAGTAAACACAATAAAATAAAACAAAATGATCTCGGACACAGTTCACTGTTTCCATCTTCATTTTTCCTCCCGACTATTTTTATGGCTAATTAGTAATAACCCGCCAAATATCAAACAATTAAAGGTCAATCACTTCCTTATCCTCTTCGCCGACAATACCCTGCTCAATCAACACATCTTAACCCAATCCACGCGCATAAAAACAGAAGACAACAATCAAACACCCGCATAAGCACAAATAACGCCAAAAGTAGAAAAAAAAAAAAAAAAAGAAAAAACTGAAATGATAACAAAACTTAAAAATGCAGAAAATGGGGAGTGAAAAAGTGGTGTATGCGTATACTTGTGAACCGACTCCTTGAATTTCTCCTCCTCAAGGAACTGCAGAATTAAGAAGACCAATTCCCTGCTCAGGGACGACATTCCCACCTTAGATTCCACAAAATCCCAAACCAATCAACAGATCAAGAAATCCCAGGCCTCCACTTACGCACCCCCTTCCTCCTGATTTACCTATTCTCCTCCTCCTTCCTAGGGTTTGTCTAAAAACACAGGCTGCTGCGATGCCAGAACAACAACGAGGAGAGAGAAAGAAGTTGAAATGGAGACATCTATGTCTATATATACACACACATAATGTTATGTGAATATATATATATGTATATAGATACGTGCGATGAGTATGTAAGTACAGGGAGAGAGAGAGAGAGAGAGAGAGAGAGAGTGGAAAGAGTGGAATTGGGAAGTGGTGGTGGTGGTGGTGGTGGTCTCGCTATCTTTGATGCGTTTGGCAGGAGTCTATCTTTTTCTACTGACCTATCAGTGATAAGGAGTTGTACTTATCAAAGATACGAGCGTTGAGTTATATGATAGGGTATGATTGCGTGACGTTGAGGAGAAAGGCGGATTTGAAATAGAGAAATAAAATCTAGTTGAATATTCAGCTTGAGTAACATCCCATCCCATCTACGCCAGTCGCTGTTGGAGGGGACGGGAGCCTTATTTATTTATTTCTTTTTAGACCGGAGAGGCTAGTTTGTTTATTCGGTAAGAATATTTTTTGTACTGTCTTCGTTGTATAATATTTTTTAAATAATTAATATTCGTTCCGTCCCAAATCCCCTATAATATATTTTTTTGGAATGTTTCAAACATCTGCAATATTTCTAAAATATAAAATAATTAATTATATTAATATCTACCCCATACTTTATCTTTTCTCATTATCTAAATAAAAAAATAAAATATATATTTCTCTCTCCATCGCATCACCTAATTTCTAAATTATCCAATTTAATACTACCTACTTAAAAACTTTGGGACAGAGGGAATATTAATTATTATATTAATATATAATATAAATTAAGAAAAATAATAAAAATAAGTAATTTGTATAAATATAAATTAAATACAATCAATGAAAAGATAAATAATATTGATTTTATGGGACAATGTAGTATATTTTTCTAAAAAAAATAATCTATTACACGTATTAAGGAGTCTAGTAAACTAGAGTTTATTGAATTTTATTGGGTTTTAAAAATCGGATTGAATTCAATTATGTTTTTTTTAAAAAATAAAATAAAATTTAATCCATATTTTTAAAAATTTATTAAAATTTGAGTGTATTCTATTCAAATTTTACAAAATATATGTTTGGATTAATTTAAAAAAATAAAAAAAGAATTGAAAGTACAAGTAGAAGTAGAAACCAAAAGCTTGGATTTTGTATTTGGATTAAACTGTTTTTCATATAAAACTGTTTAAATAACTGTTAAAATTATTTAAAAAGATATGTTGTTAATATAATTGTATTTTTCTATAAAATTTATAATTTGTTTTAAATTTTATTAATTATACTTAAAGATTTTAAATTAAAGTATAAAAAATATATATTTAAAATTTAGTTATTCATATTTAAATATAATATATAAATTAAAAATAAAATTGTAATATAATATTAAATTATTCATATTTTACAATTCATTTCAAAATTTTATAAATTATATTTAGTAATTTTAGTATGAGTAAAAAAATTTATATAAGCTTATTTAAATTTGGTATTTCAATTATAATTTTAAATATAAATTCAAGTATAACATATAAATTAAAAATAATATCTAAATTAATTATTTTTATATTATATTATAATTTTGTTATTGTTAAGGATAAAATAATAATTTTAATTCAAAATTATTTCTGTTTAATTCAAAAACTAATGCAAATAGATAAAGTTATTTTTCAAAGTAAATCAAAAGCTCTTGTCAAATCACTAAACGGGCCAAAGTCTTTTAAAAATTTGGTGTATTTAATGATCCAAATTCATGTACTTTAAAAATCCATAAATTTTGTTAAATTGTTTTTTAAAAAATTGTTAATAAATTACACGGTATAAAATATCTGCTATGATTTGAGATTTCTATTAGATTTTTATTAATTCTCAAAATTTTAAAAAACAAAACATATCACTTTCTTTATATCATTAATAATTATTTATTATTTATATTAAATATTGCATTATAATAATATAAATAAAATAAATAAATTTAGATGCAAATACACAAAATATTAATATTATAAAATTTTATATATTTGAAATAATACTAAGAGAATTAAGTATACTTTTTTACTAGATAAAAATTAATTAACATAATAAATTTAATAAAGATTTCAATTAAATATTAAATTATTATAAAATTATTGATACGTTGAATAATATAATAAAAATATAAATTTAAAATTGTTATTATTATTAAAATAAATATGAGAATAATAATACTAATAAATATATTTTTTGAGAATTAATTTATTTTTAATCCACAATTATATACATTCTAATAAAATTAATATAAAATCAATAAATAATCCAATCAAATATATCAAAATTCATATAAATTAATAAACAAAATCAATCAAATTCTTCGGGTGTGTTTGTTTGGGGGTTTGAATTTTGAGTTGAAATTTGAATTTGAATAGTTGTATGATGTGATATAAATAGGTGTTGATGTAATGTTTTGAATGTAAAATTGATTTTTAGTATAATATAACAATTGAAAACCATGTGTTTGATTTGATATTTTTTGAGGAAAAAAATAGAATAAATAATGTATTTTAAATTCGATCTCCCAAACAAACACACCCGTCATAGATTAGATTTTATAGAACTTAGAACTTTCAAATCCACTGAAATACATTGACTTTTTAAAATATAAACAAATTAATTAAAATTCTAATTCCATATACTATTTTATTATTTTTATATTATCAATATAATTTTTTATAGTTCACATAAATTTTATTTCATTCAAATCTAATCAAAACACAAAACAAATACACTGGATTTCTTTGATTTTGCACTCAAATGAAAATAAATGCTAATGGGTTTATCTTGTAAAATTATATTTTCTCATTTCCAAAAGAGTTGTCTTATTTTTTCATTTTCATCCGTCCTGTTTCCTTATTCAATAACCGTGGTCGCTACTTTATAACAAAATTATTCCTACTTTTCCAAACTACCCATAATTAATACTCTAACATACTTTTTAAAATTGTTCAAAAAGTAAAGACATTTTGGTATTTTACATTCTACTTTATACCCACTTTCAATTAAATACTATTATTCCTTAATTCTCGTACAAACTCCAACCAGACGTTTCTTCTGGGATTGAGGGAGTATTATCTCTATCATTCAAATTTATATTTATATCGATGTGTTCTTACAAACAATAACATCCAATACAATTTTTCAAAAAATTAATATATTACTCGTACTTATTATTTCTGTAATACTTACACAATTCTCTGTACTTCACGAAAATTTTTTTTCCACAAACCAAAACACAAATCAAACAAAAGACATATTTGTTACTATAAAATGAAACAGTTTATATTTTTGCATATATATATATATAAAAGAGCTCAAAACTGGACCTCACTTTTTGTAAAATTATGTAATTCTGCAATCTCAGATTTTTTTTGGTTTTTTTTTAATTATAATTTTTTAATTTTTATTTTTAGATTTAGAGTTTATTGTTTTTCTAAAATTATCAAAATAAATTATAGAGGATGTAAATGACAGTTTTGAAATAGTGTGACGGTGGTTTCAATGTTAGCGGAGGAAAACTGATTTTTTTTTTTTTTTTCTATATAGACATATGAGGGAAGGGCAATGCGACTAAAGGGTGAGAATAAAAATATTGAAATTTTTTTATCATTGATGCACTTACAATGAATTGTTGCTTTTTGATAATATTGAGTTGTTTTGATATTCTTTCTTTATTAATAATATTTTATATATATATATATTTATAATCTTTAGATTTTTTTTTTGTTTTTTTCTAAATTATTTATTTTGTTGTGTTTTTTTCTGCGTAGTTGGAATCCCAAATACTTTTTTGATAATTTTTTTTATTGATAATATTGAGTTGTTTTGCTATTTTTCTTTCTTAATAATTGTTAAGCACAAAAAATAATAATAATAGTAAGTGGCAGTAGGATTCTGGGTAGGGTCTGAATGAAAGCCAAAAGGTCTGGAGGTCGGGCAGAATAAAGGTCGGGAAAAGGAAGAAAGGTCGGGCGGAGTCTAAAAAAAAAGGTGTACCCAAGTCGGGTAAACCGTAGATCGGATGGAAGGCGAAGTCGGGCAGACGCGGAGGTCTGTCAAGAGGAAGGTCGGGCAGACGCGGAGGTCTGTCAAGAGGAAGGTCGGGCAAGGAAGAGGTACGGACAGACGCGGAGGTCTTCGGTCAAAGACGGAGGGCGGCTGATGCGGAGGTCGGCCCAAGTGAGGTCGGGCGAAGAAGCAGGTCGGGCGAAGGACGAAGTCGGGCAAAAGAAATTTGGCAGTGGACAGGCAGGTCGGGTAAGAGGCAGGTCTGAGTTCTGTGACTGGTGGGAACGGTTGAAGGAAGTTGTAATACGTGTCAATAGAGGAGAAATTGGTGGTCGGTTGACAGCGGTTGCTGTAACCGACCAGACGGCGGTTCAAACCGTTTTCTCTGAAAGGCTATTTAAAGGATTCAAATCCGTCAGAAAAGGCATCTTCAATCAACTTCAACAAAGCAAAGTCAGATTTGGGGATCACCACTTTAAATTTCAGTCTTTTATTTTCCAGTTTATTTTCTGTACCATACAGTGTTTAGAGATTCCTAATCTCAGGCACTAATTAATCAAGTTTAAGGATATTTTCTATATCTTTGAATTTTACTTTATTTTTGTTGAAAAATTACATCAACAAATTGGCGACCACAGTGGGAGCAAGACACAATTGCTCATTCCAATTCCGGCGATAATTTCATACGTCTTAGATCCGGCCGAATCATCGGAAGGGTCCATATGGCAGGTTCACAACCGCAATCATCTTCGGCACCGGCGGGAGAATCCGTTCCACCACCTATTGTGCCAAATGCCGGGGAAAACCCACAACCACCAACTGATTGGTGGTCTTATGTTCAACAAATGAACAACCAGCATACTTTGGTTATGCAGAATATGTTGCGTGAGCAACAAACGAGCATGTTGCGTGAACAACAAAATCTAATGCAAAACATGTTGGATCAGGCATTCTCCAGATTCACCCTGTATCCAAACATGCTTCCAGCCGTGTCACCTTCTCGTTTTCAGGCGACTTTCTCAGGATCAACGTTTGCAGAACCATCATACGTTGACAGTACGTTTCCAAGCGTTACAACTTTCAACCGAACAGATATGGGGAAGATTCCTCTAACTTTCCCAGATAATGTTCCTTTGGGACCGAGGGTTGATAATA